TCAGAACTCATCTTTACTCTTGTCTTATCCTTGGAATTTGGGTTCTGTTCAACTTTGCACGTCGGCTTGTCCTGGACTTGTCCTGGCTGATCCTTGGATTATCCTTGGCTTATCCTGGTTTACCCTTGGCTTTCTTGGCTTATCCTTGCTTATCCTTGCTTGTCCTTGCTTATCCTAGGCTTACCCTTACTTATCCTTGGATTATCCTTGGCTTACGCTGGTTTACCCTTGGCTTATCCTGGCATATCCTTGGTATCCGAGCTTATCCTCGGCTTATCCTTGCTTGTCCTTGGCTTATCCTTAGCTTGCTTACCCTCGGCTTATCCTTGCTTGTCCTTGGCTTGCCCTGGCTTATCCTTAGCTTATCCTCGGCTTATCCTTGCTTACCCTCGGCTTATCCTTGGCTTGCCTTGGCTTATGCTTGGCTTATCCTTGGCTTGTCCTTGGTTTATCCCGGCCCGGATCCTTGGCTTATCCTGGCTTATCCTTGGCTTATCCATAAGAACCTTTTAAGGGCTTATTATGGCCTTATTAAGGTTTTATCCTGTGCTTGTTAAGTGCTTAATAAGACATTGCCTGGCGCGGTTGGCCAAATCAAATGAATGCTTGTTTAGGCACTTAAAGGCTTAAAAAGGTCGTTGAGATGGTTGGTCCAGCATTTGACACGTTAAAAGAGAAAGCTGCTATGCTAATCCGAGGCCCTTGACGCGCCAAGCTGTGTGTTGGCAATTCCCTTGGTCACACAGGCCTCCGCAGGCGTGTCTGCGGAGAAAACATGTGGGAAATGGCGCAAAGCTTTACATGCGGACGCACTGTCAACAACAATCTTCCGGCATTCATTCTTCCCAAAATATGTGATTGCAAGGTGGCACGGTCGCCTGATTCTCGATGTTGGTGCGGCGCGCACTGAAAGCTGAATACGCGGCCGGGTCAGGCAGCACATGGCCGTTTCCAAACATCCCTTCTCCAACCCTTAGCCAGCCCTTATTCCATCCGAATCCACAAGCACATGGTAACTTCCGGTTGGCATGTAAAATGCCTCTTCCAGCAGGGGCCTTCTCTGTACCAGTGGTCTCCTCCAGGATGTACTTCTGAACGATGTGGAAGTCCTTGTCCAGCTGCATCTCTGGTGATGTGTGGCGCTGCTGACTCCTGATTTGTTGGTGGTTGGATTGTACTGAATTGTTTGTGGTGTGACTGACCTTCTGCGGCGCGCTCTTTGGCTGTCTTTGTTGTAAGCTGTTGCTGCAGTGTCTCGGCAGCGTCGTGCCTTTCCTGATCCTGAAGACTGTTTCTCCTTCCCACATCTGCTGCTGTGCTCTGTTTGGATGTTTGACACTTGTCCTCAAATGCGTGCGTTGTGCCATCCCTGAATCTGATGGTTGTTCTCCTGTAGTCCTCAAGTTGTTCTGTTCGAGCTGGACGCTGTGTTCTTGCAGACTGCCTTCCTGCACTGTCTGTGTACTCTGACAAGTTCACCTTTTGTATTGAACTGGCAGTAGTCTCCTGCATATCCTGTGTCTGCTGTACCTTGTGGTGTAGGTGTTGTTGTCGGTGCTACTGGCTGTGTGCTGTGTATCTGTAACTTTGTTCCTTTCGGTAATGCTGGGGCTTCAGGCCGTCTCTGTTCTCCAGTGTGCTGTTTAATTCTTTATTGCGCCGTTGTCTTGGATTGTCATGCAGTGTAAGTTGGAAGCCTTGTTCCACCAGCCTTGTAATTCAAAGAGTTGGCTGTTTAATCTCACAAACGTAGAAAGGTATGACAATCTGTTGTCCGCTGTGGTTTGTCACGCAAACCCATCTGTACCTGAAGAGCTTCATGTGTTGGTTGGTTACTGTTCTCAACTGCGGTCCTGACCCACGCTCAAGTTGCTGTAGCGGAAATTTTGTTGCAAACCATGGGGGGCATACCTGTGTGGCCGCACCGCTTTCAGTCACAAGGCTGCCCCATTTGTTGTTTTCTGTGAGTTGATGCGCTGTGCCACTCATGGCAACTGTTACTTCTTGTAATCCGGAGTGCTGATGAATCTGCTGGTTCTGGCAGCGCTAGCTGTTGTACCTGTGTTTGATCCTGGTGCCAATGCTGTCATAGTGTGCTTGACTGTGCCGGTCATCTGTCTAATCGTTTGCGCGTCGAAGTTGCCAGTGTCGCAGTTGTAAATCGCCACTCTGCATTGTTTGGCCATGTGTCTGGCTGTCCACATCTGTAGCAAACATTTCTTGCATGTTTTCCTGTTGCTCCTTTTCCTCCTCGTTGGTTGTTGTAGTACGCTTTGCCTTTTCCTTTGTTGCTGTATCCTTTTTCTTTGCTGAATCCTTGTTGTCCTTTGAAAAGATTTCCTTGTCCAACCGGTTGATTTTGCCTTTTCCTTTGTAGCCGTTGTAGTGGGAGTTGTTCCCCTAGCAGCCATGGCCTTTGCCTTTGTTGTACTTTCCTTTGCCCTTCTAGTTTTTTCCTTTGCCTTTTTTGTACCACTTTGCGCCTATGTCCGTGCTGGTCCTTGGTTGTCGTGGTTGCCTGATGTGATTGCTTGTAGCCTGTTGAATGATGATGCTGCTCTGTAGCACTCGATCACCAGAGATCTCATTTGCGCATATGTTGTGATGTTTCCTGCCTGCAACTATAAGTGCTGCTGTAGTGGCCTTTTCTGTCTCATTGAGCAGCATTGCCATCTTAACTTTAACTGCATCTGGTAGTAGTGTGTTGTTGTTTTGTTCGTACTTAGGGAGTGGGAACTCCCATGTTGTGAAGCTCTTTTCGCACTTCTGTTCAGCAAGTCGTGGTTTTAGCAGCCTTGTAAGCTACGCAATCCTCCATGGAGTACCTTGCATGTGTCAGTCGCCATGTCTCAAAACCGTTGCCTTGCATGTTGTGTTCGCATATTGTAGGTGCTGTTCCATCGCGTGTGCCCACCAAGACGTAGTGTAGGTTTTGCTCAGTTGCTGCCACCTGCTGTGAAGGTGCTGCGTTCTCCAGTTGGTCGTTTGTAACTTGTCCTGATTGCTCTGACTGTCTCAGTCAGTACGCGGGGTCGTGTCCAAGATATGTCATCTTGTACTTCCATTCGAAGGTGTATTCTCCTGTGACCCGTGGCGGTGATCTCTTGTTGGGCCGCCAGTTGCGTGGTGTATGGAAAGGCCGCCAGATCCTGCCCAGGTGTGTAACCGTGTGCTGCGCTGCCATGTTAAACTTGGAGCTACTGTTTACCTGAAATTTAAACCTGTGAGTGTATCACACCGGCAGTGTAGCACTACTTTTTTTGGGCGCGATGCTGTAGGCTCAAGGCCTTGATGTATGCATATGTTGCGGGTGCTACATGTACTGCAAGCTGCACAAGGGTTGCCAAGGCATGTTGTATATTCTGCTTTTTTTACACCCCAAAAGTACATACCCCCAAAAAACAGAAATCTAGTGCCGATGGCTGAAAATCGAAATCTGAGTCTCGCACCACCGCTCAGAAGCCCACGGGAATGATTTGATTCCCAACAAGAAAACCAACAAACTGTGGTTGCAACCATAGTGTCTTCAGTGGTGCAAGATTTTGACCAACACCATGCGATCACTTCCCAATTGCTGAAGTGAATGCTGTGTATTTCCCCCTTGGTGTTAAAGGGAATCGATGGGGGGGTAGCCGGTAGGCTGGTTGTTTGGAGGATGGATATGGAAAACCTCCAACTTGCAAACCACCGAAAACCAATTGGAGGGAAACTGAATGTGGTAGGAACATCTGCAAGTTTGGTGTTTTGGGGCTTCCGAAGACCTTCAGTTGGTTCCTTTGAAGTGGTGACCTTGGGTTGGCCAGGGGTTGGCCAAACGGAAGCCGACGCCCATTTCGGGGTTCCCTTTGAGACAAACCCGCCTAGTTTCAACACGCCCAGCCCAGCCCAGAGACCGTTTTTTGTTCAGGCAATTGCGCATGTTTGCAGGAGGTTGTTCTTGTTTGGTGGCGGGGTAAGTCTGAACCCGATCAGTTCCTCGAAAATAGCCAGGGCAACGGGGCTATGCTGGATCAGTTTTATCCTAGTTAATTTGGTTTCAAAGCATCCCACAACTTACCCCATTCTGAGTATTTAGGCTCACTTTCTCGTCTCAACCCATTTGAATCTTTCGCCCCTGCCGAAGGTGACTGCTCTTCGACGACATGGTGTGGAGGCCGAAGGAATCAAACTGGAACTGGGGAAGGGGGACTTGCCAAGAAGACGTGCTATCCTTGACTGCTATTGGATCTTTAGACTTGAACTGTTTGGTTGAAATCAAGTTGGGTTTTCCACTAAACCCCCATTTTTTCACTTTTTCTTGCAGGGGGGTCGTTAAAGCAACTTCAAGTATCTTCACTTGAGTTCCTGGACTTGGATCACTGTTTGGGTCTGGGCCACCTTGGCGAAAAATCTCGGTCTTTGGACCATGTCCTTTTTGTTCCGAAGTGGGTATGTTTTTTGGTTTAACCACCAAAGGACCGCAGCTTTTTAGTCCTTCGTTCCATGAACCAGGGTTCCATTTTGGTTACCTAGTTTTGACCCACAACCAAGTAATTTTTGCGTTGGGTGTTGCAAACACCTCCAATTGCAGGGTTGTGCCCTCATAGTCCCTGTTGGGATTGAGCCATTCTTTGTTTTGGAGCAACTTCAGCCTCAGCTTTTGGGCTGTTGAATCCCCCCAAAGGGGTGATTGCAGCACACAGGACATCTCTGCGTAGTGTAATCTCCATCTAGCCCTCAACAATTATTTTGCTTTCGATCCGGAGAGGATGTTTTTCTTATTTTCCTTGCTTGTTTTTTGTCTTGGAACAATGACACGAAAGCCTCACAATTGCCAACTGAGTTCTAGTTGCTCAGCCCTTCCATCTTTGGAGTATGTGTTATTCTTATTTTCGGTTCAGCCTTTTAAGCATTTCTTTTGACCCTGAGAGGATGTGTGTCTTGTGATCACAGCTCGTCCCATCGAAGCCCTTCCGCAACCGCGCCAGGCGCGCTTGGAGCGTCTGGCGGCGCCCGGCGCCATGCGGGGGCGCCAACTGGTTCAGCACCCCCGGTGGGGTTCGGGGCTCGAACTTGAAACGAGCTACGTAGGGTACTCCCGTTCTCCCCCAAGAAGGTGTTCCCCCGCTTTTTGTTTTGTTTTTTTCAGGTTGGTGCTAGAGAGAGAGGTGTGTTAGATTGGATTCGGATCCAGGTCTTGTCTCTCCCGTGACTGTGGATGGTTGAAATCGAAATCCAGGCGAGTCTCGCACTGCTGAAATGGGAAACCATCACGTCGGCTAGTATTTACTCTCGGGAATCGAATCATTCTGTTGGGTTCCTAATCGTAGGTCACTACCCCAAGAAGGTGTTTCCGTTATTTTGGGCCATGTGCTTGAATAAATATGTATGTTGGCTCTTACATTGGGGATCGGCGATCGGTAACTACCGGGATCGGTAATTAGTAAACAGGCAAGTCCCTCACAAGGGCCTAAAGATTGAACGGCATCGGGTGAGTATTGGAGCTAGTAATGATTCAGCCCTTTATGTTTGGATGACCCCACAGGTAAGTGGATCATTGCGTTGGGCCCCGGCTGGGATTCACGATGAATTCCTTACCTGGGAGGGTCGAATGCGAGTCTCCATGACCCTTGAAACAACAACATATTCCCGAAAACAAGCCACGAGACCATGTGTTCAGGCTCCTCAGGGCACCTTGTGAGGATGCGCTGACCCTTTTCTGGATCCTCAAGTTGTGGGAAAGTTCATCTGTTTTGTTTCACTTTCGCCGTTAGGATGGCCTGAGTGAAATATGCATCAAGCTACCATAAATAGCTGCGGATATCCGCCTTGATTCTTGAATCATCATGGACTATCGGGGGGTGGCTATGAGGGGGGGGCTACTTCCTTTATCCATAAGGGTTGGATAAGCTTTGGGAAAGGACATGATTCTTATTGGCTCATGGCCTTGTCTTCACTAACACGGCGATCGTATATGGACTAGTGCCACGACCAAGCCGGTTGGGTGTTTTTCTGCGGTTGCCCTGGCCGTCCCGAGCTGGTCCTCTTATTCTGGGCTTATCCTCGGCTTATCCTTGGCTTATCCTGGGCTTATCCTCGGCTTATCCTGGGCTTACCCTGGGCTTATCCTCAGCTTATCCTCGGCTTATCCATAAGCGCTTAATAGATCTTAATAAGGTTTTAATAAGGTCTTATGAAGGCCTTATTCGAGGGCTATTAATCTCTTAATAAGAAACGTGGGGAACCAGGCGCTTCCAAAAGCGTAGGAGCACCCTCCTGAGAAGCGCCGAACGTACCAAGTGGAAAAGCACTCGCTTGTGACTTGTGATGGAAAGGCTCTTGACTACCTGACACCTGTCAATGCCGGTCACCCCACTAACACGTAAGACCATTTGCCACCAGCAGAGGGCCTGAAGTAAAACCATGCTGCAGCTCTCCACTAATGTTAACCCCGGATTAATAAACCCCTGGGTGATTAATAGGGGGGTGTCCCCTTTTAGTGGGGATTCATCACTTTTGGAGGGAACACCCCCTAATAATGGGACGGGTTTATTAATCCTGGGTCAACATTAAGGGATCTGCTGCTTAGGCTTGGATAGATAAACTTTATTATTATTGCCTTCTTCAAGTTATTAGGGTCTTAATAAGGGCTTATCCATTTTTTGTGGATAAGTACTGTATAAATCCCTATTAAAGCCTTGATACGCCTATGATAAGACCTTATTAAAGGTTTATTCAGAGATAGCGCCACTACACCCTAATCCTGTGATTGTGCATAATTGGAGTAGCCGCCCTCCCATAGTGTGAAAATGCAGCATGGTGCATCATGAGATGTGCTCACCGCTGCCACTGGCTGTACACTAGGGGCCCCTTGACCGCCATTCGAAGGCTAAGGAGAAAACCAATGGAGGTGCGTTGCGCCTACGGTTCTTCATGGTAGCGGAGCAGGACACGATCCTGCTGTTTGAGCCCATCACGCAGTTTGCACTGCTCAGGACCGCGAAAGCGGTAGGCTGCTGGTCACAGCAGTATGGAAGCCCGGGACCCTTTCAGGGAGCTGAGCTTTGATGGCCGACCCTCCGGCTATCGGGACTTCAGGCGGAAGGTCATTCTTGGAGTGGCCGGCTTGGAGGACAAGATCCAGCATCTGGCTGGACCCAGGCTTCTGCAGCGTCTGCATGGAGAAGCCTGGCGGGCAACGGAGCACCTCACGGTGTCAACGTTGCGGAGCACAGAAGGTTGGCTTCGAGTGCTGAAGGCCCTGGACGAGCACTACAAGTATCTGCCAGAGACGGAATTACACGAGGCGATAGATGAGTTCATGTTCCTCCTCAAGAAGCGCAACAACGAAGGCGCTACAGCGTTCGCCTCGAGGTTCAAGACCCAGCTCAGCAGAGTACAATCGCTCATAGCCCAGGAGCGGGAGACCTCTAGGCAGAAGAGGCGAAAGAAGGTCGACGAGGAGGCCAACCCCCTCGACGACTCCAGCGTGGAGGAATCTGGAGAGGATGGATCCCGAAGTGAAACTCCTGATGCAGCTGCTGCCGCAGACACTGCATCGGTTCCTTCGGCGAGCCCTGGAGAACGAGAAGGTTCTGTGCGAAGCGGGAGCCACCGTAGTCATCGTGCTGATGGAGCCGGTACTGCTGCCGGATCCACACGGAGCTCAGGTCGTGGTGTTCGACGACCTCGAGAAGAGGATGAGGTGGACCCCAAGGATGCGAAGGACGACACGCGAATGCAGCGACTGTTGGGGACGTTGGAGAGATCCACTATGCGCCCCAGGCCAGTGTTCCCGCAATCAGTGCTTGGGCACCTGTTCATGCGGAAGTTTGGCCTCAGTCGGGAGCAGCGCGCTCAGGTCATCCGGGCTACGGGAGGTTCATCCAGGTTTCAGGATGTGGAGCGCATCATGCGCGCATCAGACATGGAAGATCGCCGCCCGGAGCAACGTCCACAGCTGCCCCACAAGGGCAAGCGGGAGGTCTACGCGATGGAGTACGGCGACGACTCTAGCGAACTCATCGAGCCCGACTTCGAGGACTCCGACGAAGAGGTCAATGCGGTCTACCAGGATGAGTACGACCCCGAGGAGGACCCCGAGGAGCAAGAAGAGCTGGCCGAGATCTACGCAGTCCAGCAGAAGGCGAAGAAAGAGTTCAAGAAGAGCTACAGGACCTACAAGGAGTCGAAGAAGAAGGTCCGCGAGATCAAGCGAGCTAGGCAGCCCTACTTGCCGGTGGTCGCACTTCAGGAGAGCGATCCCAGCGGTCCGTCACATGGGTCTGCCAAGCCAGTCTTCAAGTACGACAAGAAACCGGGAAAAGGCGCAGGAAAGAAAGGCGCTGACCGGAAGCCTGTCCGGAAGGAAGAGGCCCACCTCGCCGGCGAGTCCTTCATCACCGAGTTCAACTACATGGTGAATACCGACGAGATGGAGGTGCTGCTCAACTCGATCCCGATCGGCCGTGCCATCATCGACACGGGATGCACTTCCAGTGTGGTTGGAGAGGACACCGTCGAGGCCCTGACCAAGCACTTCATCAGTCAGCAAGTGCCAGCTCCACAGGAGGTCAGTCTGCCTCCAGTCGAGCTGAAGGGATTCAACGGCCACACGGAGAGAGCCACAAAAGGCCTCAAGTGGCTGGTGAAGCTTGGGTCATTGTGGGGCTACATCACCACCTACGTGATCCCAGGTAAAACCCCGTTCCTGCTGTCTCGTAAAGTGTTGCAGGGCATGGAGGCCACCTTGGACATGGGCAACCTCACCATCACCAGCAAGAAGCATGGGATGATCCGGGTGCCACTTCAACAAGCCGCCAACGGGCATTTGATGATGCCGCTCTTGGATGAAGGCTTGGATCAGAGTTGGCAGCCAGGACGTGATCCTCGCCAGAACCGTCGTGAAGGCGAGACTCTGGTCATGGACGATAGCAACTACGAGCCCTACGTGGAGCCGTCGGACGAGAAGATTGTGGAGCCCGAGGAGCAAGCTCAAACCCATCGGGACTCCTGGACAACATCAGAAAGTAAGAGAAGCACCCCTGGATCGGCTCGGAGAGGATTCACTGCCTTCAAGCAACGTGAACCTACGGCCGAAGAGGTGCAGGCAGGACGGGCCAAAGTCAAACCTGCCACCAAGTGTGATCAGAAACGTGCCTTCCAAGCCTTGGTAAAATCCACCAAAAATGGGATCATCCTTGTTGAAGATCACCGGGATGAGCTAGGCGTCCTTGTCGGCCAAGAAGTTGCAAAGCATGTGTCGCATGCCTTCACTGCATACAAGCCCCGCAAAGAGCGAGTGCCCAATTTGTGTGCCACCACAGACGTGCAGTGTTGCATCTTGAGCCTTGACAAACATGGTACCCTAAGCCCCATCTTGTGGACACACCGTACCGCAGGCATGGCGAGACGAGAGGTTCAGCCTGTAGATCTGGCTTTGTTTTTGATCCGCCCGGTAGCCAGCTATAAAGAGCCCGCACTGCCAAGTGAACAACACACAGCAGAAACCTGTTTCTGTTGCCCTTCTGAGGAATTCCCTGAAAGCCTGATGTGCGATAACGAAACGCCAGAAGCAACTACTGCTATTGAAGCCCTATATGAAGAAGTAGATTGGGCACAACTAGACTTTCAGAACCTCAGAAATTCAACTAAGCAGTTGCTGCTTGAAGAAGTGAACATGGTTAAGGCCCTTCCGATAAACTTGAAGGTTTCAAGAGCTGTGAAACACCCCCAGGAAACAATCTCTGAGCTTTCCCAGTGGCTAGGACCCCAAGCGCCAGCCTTAAGCCAGGAGGTGGGAATGATAGAAGTGTTCACAGGGAAGGCGCCATTAGCTAAGTTGTATCATGACAGATCCGGCTGTAATTCAATCAAACTTGGTTTGAAATACGGGCAAGACTTTACTAAAGCCAAGGACAGAAGATTGCTACTTGCCTTGATTTCGTGTGTGGAACCCAAGCATGTGTGGTTCTCATGGCCGTGCAAATGCTGGGGACCGTGGTCTCGATTCAACATGGCACGAAATCAGGACACTTGCAAAGCCATCCAACAGGAACGTGATGTTGCACGCCAATATTTGCAAGCCGTTTCAGATGCTTGGAGATTGCAAGTGAGCCTGGGAGGTCATTCGCATGGTGAGAACCCTCTCACTTCGGATGCATGGCAAGAGTTGCATTTAGGACCTGTGTATGAGGTGAGAATAGATCAGTGCAGTTTAGGCTTAAAATGTCCAAAAAGTCAAAAACCTGTGCTTAAGCCTACTCGCATTGTCACCTCGTGCCGGGGACTAGCCGAGTCCTTAGAGAAGCGCCGTTGCCCAGGATGCATTTCGCATGCGCACTTGGAAGGTAAGTTTAAGGGAACCAATCTCACCGCGTTTGCAGAGACTTATCCATACAAGTTCTGTAAAGTGGTAACGGAAGCCTTGCTACGTGCCTGTGATGAGCAGCCTGTGCGTGCTATGGATGTGCTGGCAGCCGAAGTCGAAAGCGATAGCGAGCCAGCCGACGACGAAGCCGATTCAAGCCAAGAGGGCGACCCCGATCAGCCCGACCAGCCCGATCAACCCGAAGCAGAAATCCGTGTGCCTAGCAGAGATAAAGCCTTAGTGAGCAAATTGCATGTGAATACTGGGCATTCCAGTGTAGAACAGATGCTACGCTTGCACACCGATGCAAGGCAAGTGATTCGATCGTGCAGGCAATTCGTGATTTCAAGTGCTCAGTGTGCGAAGAACTCAAAGTGCCACCCAGCCGACGCACAGCCACCATCTCCCATACCGATGTCCCTAATGAAATAGTAGGCCTAGATATGGCACAGGTTGAACTCAAAAGGGAAAATTCATCCGGTGAAATGGTGGAGATAAAATTCAATGTGCTGACTTGTGTGGACCTCGCCACTGACTTTTGCCAACAAGTGATCGTGCCACCAGGACCAAGCCAAGCTGCCAAAGTATTTCATCAGGCCTGGATTAGACCCTATGGGGCTCCTAAATCGGTCTATGTGGATCCTGATGGAAACTGGTTGTCTAATGACTTTCAGAGTTACCTTGAGCATAACACAATTGCCTTGTTGAGCACAGCTACTGAAAGCCATTGGCAGATTGGCCGAGTCGAGCTGGCAAACCGAATCCTAAGAAACATGGCCCGCCGTGTTTGGAGAACTACATCAAGGCCACCCGAAGAAACCATAGAGTCGTGCTGTACTGCGAGAAACGAACAGCTCAGGAAGTGTGGTTTTTCTCCCTCACAGTGGTTTCTAGGAAGGGAAAGCCGTCATGCAGGTTTACTGAGTGACCTTGGTGAGCAACAAAACTTGGCTTCACAAAGTCAAGTGTTGGCCGACGCTACGTTTGCCGCCAAAGTGCATCTACGTGAACAAGCTGCTCTAGCATTTCATGAGGAGCATGCTAAAAGCATATGGCGCCGTGCCCTTCTTGCAAAGTCACGTCCCATGAGAGGTCCCTACATTACCGGTCAAATGGTTTAAATTTTCCGGAGACGAGCAAGAGGTCTTTTGTCGACTAGACATGGTGTTTGGTTGGGGCCAGGGAAAATCATTGGGGCTGAAACCTTGAGTGGAGGACCTATTCCAAGGGTCATTTGGGTTTCATACAACGGGTGCCTGTATAGATGTTCCCCAGAGTCTCTGAGACCTATACCACAGGACGAAGCAGAATTCCGTGCCCTTTCAAAAAGCTTTGATTCAGGGAGTCTTGACCCGGAGCTTGAAAGTGCAAGGCAGCTTCTAAGTGGACCTGGGGGCCAATTCCAAGACCTAACCCAGGATGTGCCGGGTGATGATGACTTTCAACTTAATGCAGAAGAAGATGAGTTACAAGACGTAGAATCTAGTAGACAGGTTCGCCGTCGCATCACCCGGGATGGAAATTACTGGGAACAACGTGCAGCCGAAGGAAATCGCGGCAGCCGATACCGAGAGGGCGGTGATACCCCCTTACCGATGCAGATCGATCACGATCGAGGCAGCAAGCATCCCATCGGAAATCAGCCATCGGAGCCACCAGCCAGCCGTAGACGTTTGTTTGAGCCTATCCCAGAGGGCGATGAAGAAGAAGAATACACACCAAGTGTCATCCCCCCTGATGAGCAGCCAAACCAAAGTGCTAGTTTGGAGGGCGGCTTAGAGCCGATGCAAGAGACGAGTGATGTGTTGCCTCCAGCCTCAGACCTTGCTACCCATGGATCTTCCGTGGATCCAGCCGAGCCGAGCCAGCCTGAGCCTTCGCAAGCCGTGGATACTCCAGTACCCATGGATGAGGATGAAGATTGTCTTAAGGTAGAAGCCATGTTTGAAGAACAAGCATTTCTTAGTGAAGTGTCATTGGACATAATGCCTGAAGATATAACAGATAATCCTCTGTGCTTGTGGAGTGTGCTGGAAGAGTGTTTTGCAAATGCCGCGACACCTCAGGCGAAGCTTAGAAAGGTAGAAGTGTCCTACAGAAGACTCAATCCAGAAGACAAAATACTCTTTAGGAAAGCAATGAACAAGGAGTGGAATTCATGGGTTGAGAACAAAGTCACCTCTGTGTGCCGCAGCAAAGGAATACCGCCAGAGCGCATAATCCGTGCCCGCTGGGTTCTGACATGGAAGAAATCAAGTGATCCCGATGTCAAACAGAAAACCCCAAAAGCACGCCTTGTGTTGGTAGGTTGGCAGGACCCTGAGCTTGGAAAAATTGCAACTGACAGCCCTACGCTTAGAAAAGAGTCCAAGAACTTGATCCTTTCGATTTGTGCAAGCCAACATTGGGTACTTTGGGGAGCAGACATCAAAACCGCATTCCTGTCAGGTGATCCCCAGTGCCGTGACGTGTACTTCAAACCACCCGACGAAATTCGAGAGTGGATGGGGTTGAGTGCAGAGGACCTCCTACGCCTAGAGAAAGCAGCTTATGGGCTAGCCGAGGCTCCCAGAGCTTGGTTCTTGCGATTGAAACGCGAACTGCTTTCCGTAGGTTTGGTTCAAAGTCAACTTGATCCTTGCCTCTTTACCCTACACATCAAACAGGTGTTGAAAGGTGTATGTGGGGTACATGTGGATGATATCATCGGTGGAGGTGAAAAGGAAATGGATGAGGTGTTGAAACGTCTTCGCAAAGTGTTGCCCTTTGGAGACTATCGAACCCATACCATCCGTTACACGGGCATTGAAATAAGACAGAACCCTCTTGATCATAGCATTGAAGTTGGGCAGGAGACCTATATTGAAAGTTTGGGACCCGTCTCGACTAAGCCCTTAGGCACTGCTTCAACAAAGCTGACCGACAAGAGCATTTTGAGAACGTGTGCCGGCCAGTTGGCCTGGGTTGCAAACCATACGCGCCCGGACCAAGCATTCCTCGCGTCCTATTTGCAAGGGGCACAAGAAAAGGGAACGGTCGCCCATGTGACACTGTACAACAAAACTCTCCGGGAAATGAAAGAGAACAAACTCGTGATGAAATTTCCTAGCCATGTGCCTATCACAAAATGGCGCATCGTTTGTGTAACAGATGCTGGTTGGGGAACCCGAGAAAGTGGGGAGTCACAGGGGGGCTACGTTCTGTGCCTCGGGCATCAGGACCTCCTAGAGCAAAAGCCTGCAGCCTGCTGGATCGTGGATTGGAGTTCCAAAAAGTTGCGAAGAGTGGTAAGATCTTCAGTAGCAGCAGAAACTCTTGCAGGGCAAAATGGCCTAGACAGCATAGAGTTGTTCCAAGCCTTGCTAGCTGAAACCTTGCACCAGGTTACGCCTCGCAAATTTCGGGAAAGCATTCCAAGAGAACCAGCAGCAGTGGTGGTTGATTCAAAAGGTTTCTTTGACGCAATAAGCAGATCGTGCTGCAGCCAATCCGTTTCTCTTGAGAGAAGGTTGCATATCGATTACTCTATCGCCAGGGAGACACTTGAGAATCAGAACATCAAGCCCTTTTGGATTAATAATCTTCGGATGATCGCAGATCCCTTGACAAAACTGAAGGGGGATAAAGGTCCTTTGATTAGCCTCATCCAAAAAGGGGTATACCATATAAAACCGTGTGCAACATCCGGCAGGAAAGAGAAGGGAAACCCCAGCTCACCTAGCGGTGAGATTAGTGCATAGTGTGCCACACGTTTGCATCGTGACATGTGAGGCAGAGGACGCCTTACAACCTCTTGATGTGAAAGTTTTTTCATGCATGAGCCCAAAAGGGATTTGCCGTGGCCAGCATTAGACCTGTATAGTTAGAGCCCAGGTAAGGTTTTGATCCCCATTCTTACCTGACATTTATCTTTTTCCGAAATAGGACTAGTGCATGCATGTGTCATCAGACACAAGCCTTTGTGAGAAGTCAAGTGTGAAACGTCTCAACCGAGACAGCCCTTGTGAGCTCTCAAGCTTAAGTGCGCTGCTTGCTCTGACCATGAGCAAGGCCAAGAAGACGTTCGGTGAGTTCGGCAAGTTGGCTGAAGATGGGCCGCTGAGTGAAGAGGAGGTCATCCAGACCGCCTACATGATCAACCGCGCCGTCGCCCACAAGCAGCTGCCTCAGGTCACCGACCTCCTGTTGCTTAAGTTCGCAAAGGAGGAGTTCCTCGAGAGCATGACCGACGCCTGCAAGAGACGCCGTGATCCCGAAGATGATGGCGAGAGCCTTAGCAGCTGGCTCACCTTGGAGGCAGTGGGAAGCCGAAGCTACCACCCGGGTGCTACGTCTGCACCGATGCCTAGCCAGTCCGCAATGGGCTATTCGCCCGCATCCGCTGCGGCTGGACTTCAGATGCCTCACACCAGCGATGTGAGCATCAAGCTTCCTCCCGGGGTGCCCGATGTGGACACCTGGGGACGTACCCTGGTCAAGCTCCCCAAGTATGCCAAAATGTCTTGGAACTATGAGGAGGTGGTTCGCCAGAGTAAGATCAACACCGAGACCAAGCGCTACCTTGGTTGGATCCTCCGGACCTACGGCAACCACAGCCGCGAGAACTCAGAGAGTCAGGCCGTGGACCTTGCAGCCTACTTGCGCCGCATCCGTTGGGAGCCGGAGCAGATTGGCATGCAGCGTGAGCTGAAATGAGCTGTACAGCATAGGCAGCACCCTCGCACAGAGGGCGTGTGAAAATGCAGCATGGTGCATCATGAGATGTGCTCACCGCTGCCACTGGCTGTACACTAGGGGCCCCTTGACCGCCATTCGAAGGCTAAGGAGAAAACCAATGGAGGTGCGTTGCGCCTACGGTTCTTCACATAGCCCCCCCGGGCATTCCATGATGAAGCATGGTTCTGGGGATCGACCATTTACATACCGGGTTTTGATTATGAAGCTCTGGGGGTTACATGATGCGGACTCAGGGGGTTCCAGGGCTGTGAGATCCTTGTGGCTAGCCTTGCCTCTTGGCCCCTGTTCACACAGGGATGTCTTTAGCTTCGGCATATTTTTCGGGACCCCTTGTTTTGGGTCGCAAACCCTGGAGCGAACTTTTTAAGCTGAACCAAGCATGTTGAGGTAGCAAACCCTGGTGCGAACTTTTTGAGCTGAAAAACAACTCTGTTGAGACCCCTGAATTTGGTCGCAACCCCTGGTGCAAGCTTTTAGCTGAACCAAAAATCGGCTGAGATCCCTGAATTTGGTCGCAACCCCTGGTGCAAACTTTTTAGCTGAACCAAACGTGTTGAAACCCCTGACTTGTTTTAGTCACTTCGTTTCCGGGCCATTTCTTCGCAACATATGCCAATTCCATTTGAGTCTTGAGGTCCACGGACTCGGGCGTGGCCTTGCGCCGGGGATCTCAGCTCTTTTTTTCTTTCTTTCTTGGTGTTTGTTCTCCGTGGCTCGTCTCGTTTTTGGGGTATCCCCCACAAAATGGCACCGTTTTTCGGTGCTTAGGTTTGGCTTCCCTTTGAAAGCACGAAGACAACAAGTACTTTCAAAAATCAGACGCACCCATGTTGGCCATGTGTTCAAGCTCATCAATGTCACACATGCCTTGTACTTGAACCCATCGCGAAGGTCAATGCCTGTTGTGACGTACCCCTCAAAGTGTACTGATGGTTTTCAAGTATATTGAAATATGTCAAAAGGTTTACATGACCTGGACAGCCAACGAGAGAACAAATGGCTTTCCAGTGAATTGGGAACCCAGGTACGTCCTGGAACAGCGGAGAAAGCTTTCTGTAACTCTATGAGGCACCGGCAAGGTACCGGATGGCTGTTGGCGTGATGCAGGAGTGGTTGCTAGCACGACATATTAAGGGCTCATCAATGAAGTTTCCATACCTTGGGGGCTCCCAGCCATCCGGTTCCTTAGCCTTAGCTTTTTCGCGTTTCGTAGGTTCCGAATTTAACCCGTTAAAGGTGAGTCACTTTTCGCGGGGGATCGGAAAACGGGCAGCCCCAATCCCTGATCAATTGGTGGTTGCCAAGGGGCCACAAGAGTCGCACAGCTGCGCAATACGGCACTCTGCGACTTGTTGGTGGCCTTTTTCCCGTGCCTGTCAGTTTCCTTTGCATCCTAGAATTGACGGTGATTTCTTCAGAAGGGGTAGCAATGCAGAAGAAACACCTGACAATGCCAAGACCTGACCATGACCTGCCACTTGCAATCAGTGACTGAGTGACTGAGTAGCTCAGTGGCTGAGTGACTCAGTGACTCAGTGATTCTGTGACTCAATGAGTGAATGAGTGAATGAGTGAGTGAGAGAGTGAGCGAGCGAGGGAGTGAGTGAGAGAGGGAGTGAGTGAGGGAGTGAGTGAGTGAGGGAGTGAGTGAGGGAGTGAGTGAGGGAGCGAGGGAGGGAGTGAGTGAGTGAGTGCGTTTTGATTGATGTGGATATCCGCCCTCTTGATTTTGACATCAGTCTGGCAAAACCAGGTTTTCATTTTGACCCGCCTTGCTAAGCCTTACTACAGGAGCTCTCTCTCTCTCTCTCTCTCCCCCTGTATGTGAATCGCGTCTTTGGATCCGCTTGAACCTGACAAAATGGCTGACTTCCTTCCCGCTTCCCTTTCAGGCAAGGCCCAAAGCCAAAGAACAAAGGCAACCCACACACATACGCACGCGCGCACGCACGCACTCCCACTCCACTCTTACTCTTACTCTTATTCTTATTATTTCTCTTACTCTTACTCACGCAACTCTTCACATACCAGCGCTTGTTTGTTTTGCGGCCTCCTCCAAACAACGCTTGAGTCGACTTCTCGAGGCCCCATGCGGGACTTGGCGCAGCAGCTGGCGGCGCAGCTGCGAGCGTGGCAGGTGTGGAACAATCCGTCAGCCTCCGTATGGCGGTGGGTCAAAAAAAGCAGGGCTCCTTAAAAAGATTCGTTTTGCCCATCATCTTTTTCAACACCAAAATACAGTTGGACACCACCATTTACAAGTTGCAATGTTCGATCGGTGCATAATGTAAGGATCCCTACCAAAACCTGCAGTCCCCAGGTGACACTTTCTGAGTTCCGGGACTCGGACTTGGCAAGCCCATTTTTGCGGGGTTTGGAGCAAATTTCAGTGGCAAGCACGAAGTCGTTCCACTCATTTTTCGGCTTTGGACCATTTTGGTGGCAAAACAGGAAGCGGTTCGACTCATTTTCGGGTTTGGACCAAATTTCAGTGGCAAGCACGGTTTGGTTCGACCTTTTTCTGGGCTATCCACTCGGGAAGTGAGGCATAGATGAAATGGAACAGAGTCTGAACAGACTTTTTTGTGGACAAGTGTGGGCTTCAAGTAAGCAACCCTTGGCTTGTGTTTGCCTCTGCCTTTTTTCGTGATACGTTCCTTTGGTTACTTGAACTGGTAGCACTGGCACTAAAATCCGATTCTGGGAGCTAAAGGGCCACCATATATTTTGTTGATAGCCCAGGATTTTCGTAATAAGAAGGCCACAAGTTGGGATGAATTCGTGGCTGCTATTGGGTTGGATCTTTAGACTTTAAACATTTGGTTGAAATCAAGTTGGGTTTTCCACTAACCCCCCAGAAAGTTTCAACTGTTTGCAGGGGGGTCATGCAGGGCTCCTTAAAAGATCTCCATTTTGCCACCATTTGAAACGTGTGGCTTTTTCAACACCAAAATAGAGTTGGAAACCACCATATACAAGGCAATGTTCAGGCGTGTAATGTAAGGATCCCTGATTGCGGGTAATTGGCCTCTTGTGTTCTGGTTGGCTCTTTTAGTGTTCTCTTAGCACCCATTCAGCCAACGAGGATGGAGGTTGATGTGGTTTCTATTTCATGTCCCTTGTTGGAACCTCCATTGTCCGGCGATCGAAACCCCCAGAACAAAGCGATCAACCGTTGATTTGGGGAAATCCAGTGAACCTGTAACGACGGGCTTCTATCATTTCCCCAAGCATCATTTTACACAGGGTGCGTAGACTTCCCTGAAATTTGGAGACACACCAGGTCGAGCTGGTTTTTGTGGTGGTTTCTATGGAAACCACCTGACAAAAATGGTCCACCTTTGATTTGGGGGAATACAGTCTTGATGTTCTTTTAGCACCTATTGAGCCAAGGATGGGTGTGCCGCTTTTTTGGGGGATGAATGCCCTTGGTAGTTTCCAGCCAACCCCTAGGTTGCTAGTGGTTTTCGTTTGGCGGTTGGGTTTCCGTAGGTTTCCGTATTTTACCCAAAGTTAAACACCTGTAGCAGGGGATCAGAAAAGGACAGCCGAGAAAAGATGTTCAGAACTTGCTGGTGCTCAGCATGGAATGAGACATGGAATCACCCCCATAAACCATCCAACTGGTGGTTTCCTTTCTTCGGGAATCCTCAAGTTCATGCCATTTCTCATCCCCCGATTTCGCACATGCGAGGTTCCCTGGGTATCACTCTGAAAATGGGTCAACACCACCCCTCCGCCCCCACCCCATGGGTGGATGTTTTGAGTTCCTGTGAGGCTCCTGAGCTCGGGAACCCTGCGGCGGGGAGCCTCGAAATGATCGTCGAACCATTGAAACCTGGAACTTGTTGGAGAAGTTTGTGATATGGTTATAAACATATTCTGGGTTCTTTCACATATATATATATATGAGCCAACCTCAGAATTATCAAAGACCACTTTATCAACGGCGTTTCATTCAATACTGGTTTTTTGCATTTTCCTTGGAGAACGATAGGGGACTCACAAAAAACGATACCCCTGAACATGGTTTGTGCTGGACCTTCGAGCTGGAGCTGCCGAAGTCTAACTTGTGTACCGTGCCTGTACTGAAAGCTGCGGCTTGCGACCTGGAGGTTGCTGCCAGCAAGCAAAAGCCGCTTAGACTGACACGTGACCGCCGCAAGCTGCGACCTTCGAGCTGGAGCTGCCGAAGTGTAACTTGTGCACTGCGCTTGTGGTGAAATTTGCGACTTGCGACCTTGAGGTTGCTGCCAGCAAGCAAGCCGCCAAGACTGATATATGATTACCGCAAGGCAGAGAAGGCTATTGTGTGTTTGCTTGGCTCTAACAGCTTATGGAAAATTGTGAAAATTTTCGTCACGCGACACACGCCCAGAACGATACCCCGGTCGATACCCCGTCGATACCCCGAATTGGCCCGAGTTGCAAATGTGAGGCCTAGTGCATTTGCTTACAAAAGACTACGCGTGTGGTTCCAGTGCTGTGTTTGCGTAGAAAGTTTGTCGGGTGCTTTTCGAGTTCGCGCGGCGCTGTAGCGAGAGCGCTTGGGCACGCGTGGTCACCGCGAAGAGGGTTCACCGGGCACTTTCCAAATTCGCACGGAGTCGCAGCGAGGGCGCTTTGACACGCGCAATCCTCGCAGAGGGTTCATTGGGCACTTTACGAATTTGCACGGCGCCACAGCGAGAGCGCTTGGGCGCGCAGGATCACTGCAGAGGGTTCACCGGGCACTTTCCAAATTCGCACGGCGTCGCAGCGAGGGCGCTTTGACACGCGCAATCCTCGCAGAGGGTTCATTGGGCACTTTACGAATTTGCACGGCGCCACAGCGAGAGCGCTTGGGCGCGCAGGATCCCTGCAGAGGGTTCATCGGGCAGTTTTAAAATTCGCACGGCGTCACAGCGAGGGCGCTGTGGCACGCGCAATCCTCGCAGAGGGTTCATCGGGCGCTTTACAAATTCGCACGGCGCCACAATGGGAGCGCTTCGAGGCGCGCGATCCCTGCAGAGGGTTCATCGGGCACAGCACGAACGCGCGAAACGTGGAGAACGATAGGGGACTCACTAAAAGTAGAATGAATACACCCCACACAGCAAATATAGACGCTGGCTCATATACACACATGCGTGTAAAGGAACCTATGTTGATACAGTAGATGTATACATACATATATGTAAAGGAACTTTTGTTTCAGTACAATGTGAATATACATATATATATATATATATATATATTGCTCAAGGCTATTTTTGTTAGAGGGACCTGAGCTTGCCAGTTTGGGGGGTTAAAGGGAAACCAAAAGGAACAAAAAACAGTTTGTTTGGGGGGTCCCCCATTTAGAGACGCACTCGCCTGGGGGGATCCATTTTTTTTTCCTAGGGGTGTTTTTTTTACTAGGGCTGGGTTGGTTGGTTGGTTGGTTGGTTGGTTGGTTGGTTGGTTGGTTGGTTGGTTGGTTGGTTGGTTGGTTGGTTGGTTGGTTGGTTGGTTGGTTGGTTGGTTGGTCGGCTCGCGCCTTCCCCGGCATCACCAGCATCGTTGTTTATTGGCTCTGATTGGACAGTTGGGAGTTGCTGGGGGATGGATTAAGTTCAGGGTTTAGGCTGGAGAAAGATCTTCATTCGGTTGGGTCTTGTGGTGGTTTGGGGTTGTAGGACTGACATCCAGGCTGCTGTTGGGCGGGTTTAGGGTTGACTTTGGGTGTGGAAAGACGGTGCCTTTATGGTTGCTTTTGGGATGTTACGTGAGTTGTCTGGTTTAGGATTGGTTTAGGAATGGTTGAGAATTCACCAGTTTGGTTTTCACAAGCTCCAAGCTTGGGAGAATGATTGGATCCGTGCCCTCTCCGGCTTCCGGGAGAGGCCGCAAAGGAAAGTCGGGAGAGGACTGGGCTACCTTTGGAGAGGCGTCCGGGCCCGTCATTCAATCATCGCAATTCCAGCGGTTCACCCGCCGTCCTTTCGAATCATCGTCAACTCTATGGCCCCTTGTCGCAACAATTTGAAGAAACCCGTTTTTGCAGTTTGCCTTTTGGTAGGATACCATTTGAAAAGTGTTCAAAGGAAGCCGCAAGGACCCTTTTTCCGCAGATAACATAGGATACCCCAGAAGTTTTGAAAGGAAGCCACAAGGAACCCCCCCCGGACCCCCTTGCCCCAGGTGGCATAGGATACCCCAAAGCCACAAAAATCAAGAAACCGCCCCCACCATTTTGTGGTTTTGTTTTGCAGGTGGCAGAGCTGGTGGGTCGGCTGCCAGAGCCTGGCGTGCCCTGGGCCTCAGTTCTGGCGAGGGCGCACCTTCTAGGTCCAGCAAGTGAAACCCCCACCTTTCACGGTTTTCTTTTTTGGTTAGGAGGCAAAACCCCTAAAATAGACAAAACAGAAGAAAAGAGTTGGTACCAACTTATTCAATCTGGAGGACCTAGCCTTTGTGGCTGGAAAGGGGAACCAAGAGGGACATTGTGGGGGGGTCAAGAAAGACTCGCCCGAATGGCAGTGAAAAACGTCAATCATGGTGAGCGACCCCAAAATGGCTTGCCCGAGCGGTAAAATGGAACCATGGACGAAAACCAGCGGTCCCAAATTTAATTTTGACTGATACCCAAGGAGAGTGTCCGGTTTAGGAAAACAAGTCTCTCTTTTTTGGGATGGGCTTCCCCTAATACATAACACACCCAAATGAACCCACATGAGGCAAGTAGGGGAGGACGCAGCTGCGGCCGTTTGGATGCCAAACAGTCACCGAATCGGCATCCCGACTCCGAAACAAGTTTGTCCCCCTAGCCTACTAAAGACCTCTAGATCTACCAAAGGTTCGCTTATGGACTTGCAGTCTTGTTTCTTGGCGATTTTTCAATTGTCCCCTGGGGTTTTGGTTTTTGGATTTTAGGTTTTTGGTTTTTTGGTTTTCCGTTTGCCCCACTCAAGGTTAAGCCTTTGACAGGGGATCTAAGCCCAGACTGGCACATATTTCAAGGCATGACCTGTACCTGAGTATTGTGAAAGTGGGTACGCGGGAAATCGTGGTGTTCCTTTCGATGTCCTTTTAAACCAACCTGAATAGGGGTACCCTCAAAAGACAGACACACACACACACACACATTTGCAAAAAGCACACACACACAAGACACATGCGTATGTATATGTATATATATATATAGACACATACGCGTACACAGACACAAACAGATAGCGCACACATACGTACACACACACACACTTACACTCACATACGCATACATATATATATATATATATATATATATTATGGTACCCCCCCACTGCGATCCACCTTTTCATGGTCCATTTGGCTGCCGTATGAAGGCCATCTTGCATTCCATCAATCCTCTTGAGCCTTTCCTTGGTCACTGCTCGTTCGCCGGGCGGACCGGACCTTAGGTTAGATGACATCGCAGAGCTCCTGCGGTGCCAGGCTCGTTCAAGCCCTGGGTGTAGATGCCTGCCTCAAAATTGGAGGACCCCCCTCTGGCTTTGGTTTCGGATATCCCGGTGCCAAGCAAGGGGCACCCGCAAATGCAGACACACCCAGGTCTGCCTCGTTAGTCATACATGGAACTGCACTACCCGGCCTTAGGTCCCCCAGTAGTGCCCTTTTACCAACCTTTTCTTTTGGGAGGGTTCAACCCTACTGACATAGACAAAACAGAAAAATAAAAGGTCGGGTACCAACTTATTCTAAGCAACCTCAACTGGAGGACCTATGGTTGGCTTGAAGCTTAGCCAACTAACACAGAGGTTATGGGCGCTCACAGCTTTATGAGTTGACATCACAATCGCCAGACACTTCAAACGAAATCCCTTTGTCAGCTGTTGTCAGCTTTGGATTCGGTGAAGCGTTTTTTTTTTTTTCTTCTTCTTTTGTTGACCCACCAAGAGAAAGGTCGCAGGGAGGACAGGAGGAATTTCGGGAATGGGCTCTGCATCTGCGGGTGCCCCTTGGTTGGATTTGCCGGAAACCCGAAAAGCCGAAGCAGGGAGTCCTCCAAGGTCGAGAAGCTCATCCAGACCCAGTGGTTGATGTCCAGTTCAGTGGTACCATAAGGGGAAAGGGGCCCCTCTGCATGGACCCCAAAAGGGGAAAGGGGCCCCCTGTTTCTAGATGCTTTTACCGGGCAGGTCGGTCAAATTGAAGATGGGGCGAGCATACTTGTTTGGGGTGAGCAGGGCTCACCCGGAAATGGAGGCCAGACAATTGGAGATGGCTACCACAAGACCTGGCAGATGTGCTATGGTCACCTTTTCTGCGGGTTATCAAAGTGAGCACCCGTACTCAACCAACCACTTGCAGGATGACTTTGATTGTCAAATAATGAGGTCAGCACACACAGTTCAAAAGCGAGCTTTGGATGTTAGCATGTTTGTCACGAATCAAAACCGTTGACCTGACATTTCGGAACACTTTTTGATCTGGTGACCCAGCGGAAAGGCGATGGGCAACAAGCTAAGCAGCACACCAATGATAGACGCTGCAAACCAGGATGATGGTCAGCCCTGATGAGTAAAGGGTCCCCGCCTGTAAGGTCGACAAAGTTTTGAGCCCCCAAAATCGCCCGAAGGAATCTGGAGCCCGTTTGGTCTTTTGAACCAGCACCAGGAACCTGGAGAACCCCTTCGGTCCTTGCCTTCTTGGCCCCTTCTGGGCAATAGGACTCGAAATGGCAACTTTTCAGCCCAAACATAAACGCCCTTTGTGAGCTTGAACACCTTGTCATGTCAAACCAGCTTTAGTAAGACAATTGCATCTTCGGGGAAGTAAATTCTTTGGAAAGACTTGAGGAGCTTAGTCATGGCGTTCAGCGCGGACTAAGCAAATACTAAGGTCTGGCAGGTTTCTTGGCCTGGGGGCGGCAGGCGGAGGGAGGCCCCGCAAATGATGGGGTACTCACAAAGGACAAGACACCCGCGGATGAGCAAACTCTCAGACTTTTGGGCCAGGAAGCCCAATCCGGGGGAGGGGGGTATCGCAAATCAATCAGAAGCCAACTTTCTCGTCGGGTCAAATCATTTTGAAACATTTGCTGAAATGAATATGCTTTATATTCCCTGTTGGTTTTAAAGGACATCTTGCACTACTGGACCAGCATGTTTTAGTTTTTTTCCATTTGGGACGACTTGAGCAAATGGAGGTCTTCGGCTCCATTGGGCAGGCTTGCACTCCCTACGAGCTGGCCTACCACGGCTTGCCGGCCAGACTTCTGCCTTTGCGCGGACCTCGGTGTGTTTTTTGTGGGTCCGAGGAGGGAGGGATCAAATAGCAAGACCAGGTCCCCCAGCTAGGTGCCCTTTCTCACCCACTTTTTTGGGTTCCCTTCTAAAATAGACTACAGGAAAAAAAGTACCCTTATTCCTACCTCTCTACTGGAGGACCTAAACCAACGATACAGGGGGAACCAGGAAAACTTGAGGATTCCCCCTAAATGCACCTTGACAAAGTTTGATACGGGTATCCCCGCTTGTTCGTTTCTCCAAATCAAATAGCAAGACGGTCAGGCTTTTTTTTTGCCTATGAGGCCTTGAGCAAGGCTTTTGCTTGGCTTACGGGCAAGGAAATGCCCGGCAAATGCTCCTGGCGTGGCTGAAACATCACTTTCTTGGGGTGATGCAAAGGGGGACATACAACTTTTGTTTTCTCAATAATGTGTTTTGTTTTTTTAGTTCCCCTGTTGGTTTGAAAGGGAACCCATCACGACTGGATGCATGTGTGTTTTCCAGTGGTCTGAAGCAAATGGAAGATAAGAGCGATCTCATTTTCTACTCCATGGTCCGTTTGGGGGATCGAAAGATAGGGGATGAGCTCTAAATGTCCACACCCGGACGAGCCAGACATTTCCCATCTGCAGGGCACAACAATTGACCGTAGCTCGTACGGGCAATAGGCAACCCTCTCAAACCGTGCAGCCATTTGTTTGTTGGGTTTAAGAATCACTGGTCCGGTTGCCCCCAGGGGGATTTGAAGCCCTGGTTCTATGGTAAATGAAAACCACCCCTAACCACCACCAATCCAAGCCACCAATGAGTCTCAAACTGGCGGACGAAAAGGACACTTATCCTCTCTGGGTCCCTATTTTGAGAAACCTCCATCTCCGTCACAAATGCCATCACCGTGGGGACACGACCCCATTCTTTCCAGGGATCCTTCTTTTCAAGAAACCATCAGAACCCCAGAAAAAAAAGCGATCGGTTTTTGAAGAGAACGATGGTTGAAAAGAATAGATAAGGAACCAACCCCTAGAATAGTGCATGATATCCTTCCCTTCAACTCTCGAGCAAGATGGGGAAGCAGCTGGTTTTTGCACCAATAGAATCACCAGGGTCAACAAAGCTGTTGACACGGGATAAGCCATGCGCTTTTGGCCTTGGCTCAGGCTGTCTTCCAGCTCAGAGTGGCCCTGGCCTTCGGCGAGCTTCTCCCCCAAGACCCTGGAGGCCCACGCGGTCTCCACGTCCCCCATGAAAGGGAGACCCTAGCCGGACGTCTCGGGGAAGACGAGGCTCCTGAAAAAAAAAGAGGACCCTTTGCTGGGTCCGATGTTTGTGGATCACTTCCTGGACTTGATCGCCGCTGTTTGGGCTTGGAACATCTTGCTGAATCAAGAGTTTGGCCAAGCTTTTGTTCGGTGAGTACACTCAGGAAGTAAGTAAGAGGCAACCAAAAGGAAACCATGATAAAGTTATGTTTTTTGACAAGGACCCATATAGGTCTCTCGTGTTTTGTTGGGGAGCGGGTGGATGCCCCCCCCATATTGCGAGTGGAGGGAGCCTGCACTGTGCGTTTTGGGGGTGGGGGTTGTGGTTTAAACAAACTATGCTTAAGGTGTTTTTTTAACGCCAAATACCCCGTGGTTGTTTAATTGAAACCCAATGGCTGGGTTTGTATGTGAAAAGCGTGCTCCTGGGTTCAGATATATCGCCACAAGGACTTCTGGCGATGGATTCTCTGATCTGTTTCCTTCGAAAGACCCTCAGACCACAAACAGCGGTCGCCAATTTTTTTGATTATTCTTAGGCAGGGCTCCTTGAAAGATTCATTTTGCCCATTTGAAACATGTGGCTTTTTCAACACCAAAGTAAAGGGAAACCACCATTTACAAGTTGCAATGTTCAGGTGTTTTTCATGTAAGGATCCCTGTTAGGGGGGCCCTTCATTAGAGTACCAGAGGCTAGCTCATTGCCGCGCACGTGCCGCCATCCGCGAGGCGCTAGTTCCAGCGCTGCAGTGGCTGCTGGGTCTCTGTGAGACCTTCCCAGTCCGGGCGCTCGAAGAGATCAATGCAACATCAAACCCGCTGCAAGGTTCAGGGGTTGTACCGTGCTTCTGCTTGGTTCACTGTGATTGCACTTGCACCTTCAGAACCATCATGGTAGAACAACAGAGGTCATGATTTTGACCGGTCGGTGATCAAAGTCGCAAACTGGGACAGTTTCTCTTGACCACTTGGGGGGTGACTCTGAAACTGGTGGGAAAACGGGGCCAACACCAAACCCTTTGCAATGTCAAGGGGTGCACTGTACTCTGCTTGGTTTGACGGGGATTGTAGCAAGGCCACTTGCGCCTTCAAAACCATGGTAAACCCACTCGTCAACGTGTCTTGGGTCAATCTGCTAACCCATTTCGCTTTGCAGGTTGCATAACAACTTTGGCAAATGTATTTTGTCGCCCCTCTGTTTTAAACTCCGGCGAAGAACATTGGTCCAAGAATAGTGCTGGGCACTGCTGAACAAGAAAGAACAGAATTCCACAAAGGGGGCAACACCCAGAATAGTAAACCACCAATCCAAACCGCAAATTAGATCCAAGTTGATTGGAAGCGCCACGTTTTGCATTTTTTTCATGCCACTTGCAAGGCTCCAAGGCTCCGAAGCTGCCAGGTCGAATCGGTTCACCCCAAAGTCCTGGCATGGTATGGTGTCGTTTTTTGGTGGGTACTGTTGCTTGGTGTTTAAAGGGAACAGGAAAAAACCACCCATTTTCGGGGGGGTTAAAAACCGTTCTCCAAACCCATATGGCCGATCAATGGGATCCCATTTTGGGGTAGGTGAACTCAACACCCATTGCAGAACCTATTTTCGTGGGGATTGGTTGATGTTCACTGGGGGTACGATTTGGATTTTGACCCATGGCCATATCAACTGAAGGGTTCCAATATGGTGTAGCCATGGTGTAGCCCAAGTTGTAGCAGCTCCTTGATGCTCGATGCTTGCTGCATCCCTTCCCAAAGGTGTCCCCAAGTGGTAGAGGGAAACCACTTTAGGCTTTAGACTTGGGCGACCTGCGAATTATTTCCTCCAAATTTGAGAGGCAGGACACGTCTCAGCAAACAAAATATCGGTATAGTGAAACACATCGGTTTCCAGGGATTGCGCTTTTCAGCAAAAATGCCAACACACACTGGTAAAGGGCATGTCTTGGACATGAGCAATGGATAAAGAGAATGCATGACCACACCTCCAGTGGTACTCTGTGTTCCTTGTTTGGGAGTGGGCTTGCCTTTTAACATCAGCTTCCACGACAAGGGACTCCCTTTTCTTTTTTTCGCATGGCCGGGGAGTCAGGCTTCTTTCAGACCCAGACAAGCTTGGTTTCCCAGAACGTTGAGGGATGGGTTCAACAACTCACGTCCCAAGCTGTTCAATCTTGATACTTTGGGGAACACCATCTCCCTGACTCTCCGAATGGGCCGTGGTTTTTAGGGATTTCCGTATTTGGCCACGCTGGCCCGTTGACCATGTGTTTGTTCGGTAAGTTGCGTAAATGAACACTTTGTTGAAGAAAAGCGGCGTAAAAGCCCGCATGATCAAAACAAGTGGTTACAGAATGTACCAGGTGGTAAACAAGCAGTCGTTGACAAACAGTCGTTCGACTGTTTTGTGCCAATCCACTGAGTAGGTGAGCTAGATCTGATTTGCTGCTCGTCAATAATTTTGTAACCTGTTTGGGGTAGCGTTTTACAGAAACCAAGCCCAAATCCGCCCAAAACCCGCCCTAGACCAACCCACCCCAGACCAACCCTAAAAAAACACCCTAAAAACACACCCTAGACTCACCCTAGACTCACCCTAAACCCACCCTAGACCCGAAGCTTACCGTCTTGACCAGATCAACTCGACATTTTGAGCTTCTTTGTCGTCATGCAAGACAGGATGGAAAAGTGCGCTGACACTCCGTCATTCAACTCGAACGCCCCTAAACCCACCCTAGCCCCACCCACCCTACACCAACCACCCGAAATTTCACAGACCAACCGAACCCAGTCCAGACGCACCCCAAACGCACCTACAAGTTACAAGACCAACCCTAAACCCACCCTACCATAGGCCAACCCCCGAGACCACCCACTGAACCCCGAGCCTAAACCCACACCCCAAAACCAAACCGACCCTAGATTCTCCCCTATACTCCAAGAAGCTTTAAAAATACAGGATGCAAATGAAAGACCTGGTTTTGAGCCTGTTGCCTGCCGAAAACAGGGTTTTCCAAGCACAAACCCGGTTGTACTTTTAACAGCCCATACAAAAACCATTCACAACCCGTACAAAACCCATACAAAACCCGCGCGGTTGTATGCTTTTCATAAAACCGGTTTTCCCGCAAAGAACCCGGTTATTTTCGAGAACCTTTAAAATAAAAGGTTCTTGGAGAGAGGGACCGTACCCGATCTAAACCCGCCCACCCTGAAAAGACCCTACACAAAGACCCTAAACCCACCCAAACCCACCCCGGACCAACCTTACCCACCCACCACCCTGAACCCCCCCTACACACACACACCCCACCCTATGCCGAGACCAACCAAGCCACCCTAAACCACCTTAAACCCACCTAAGCCTACAAAATTGCCGCTCGACCCACCCAAACCCTTTCAACCCTTTCCCTCCCAGAACCCCGCACCCACCAAAACCCACCCCCTCCACCCACCCGACCGACCCCAGCCATAGGTCGCCGCAGCGGAGGGCCCCATCTCGGGCGTGGATTGCCTGGCGCTGGCCCCACCGAGGGCTTCCTGGGCCTCGCGTCCCCCCGAAAACGCCACGTTCGTTGGGCTTCCGGAAGCCCCCCACCCAAACCATGACGTTTTCAGGGTTCAGGGCTGAAACGGGGCTGAATCAGGGCTTCCTCCCCCCGAGCCAGAAATCGAACTGGTCTTGTTTCTCATGTTGAGCAACATGTGCTGGGTCTGGGGAGGGTGAAAGTAGATGGCGCAATATACGCAACAGGCCAGAAGAAAGGTGCTGGTTCTGCGGCATTGTCCCCTTCTTCAAGTGGATTATAGTCATTTAGTGTCTCCAACAAGCGTGGAACATCATGGCTGTTCTTTGTTGTTATCCCCTGACCTTTTGGAAGGCGATGGCTCCATGTACCAAAAGCCTACCGACCCAAACAGACATGGTCATGCCCAGGCTTGGTTGCAACCTTTGTGACTTGTTTTGCATTTGGGTGTGGCTCAAAATTAAACAGCTGGGGTTACGCAGGTTTTGGCAACCATGTTTCCACTTACCAGGGCAACCCATTTTGGAATTCCGTTTTTTTTAGCCACAGCCATTTGGTTTTCAAGGACATCTATTCAAGGGGTCTGGTATTCCATCCTGTGGGTTTCTTTTCAGTTTTGTACTAGACATGTTTTCAACTTGCAGGCGGCTGGAGGCTTTCTCTGGGGCCCAACTTCTAGATTCCCCGCACGTAGCAAAGCGAGGCTCCTAAAAAAAGGGAGCCTTGGGTTCCATGTTGGATACTCACTTCCTGAGTTGGACTTGGAGTCACTTTTGGGGGTTGGACCATTTTAGCGGCAAACAACAAGCTTGGACCTATTCTGCCGCTCCAATGTACCGTGGTATTGTTCGACTTTTCGGGAAGTATATGCTGAACAATGTGGACTAGGAACCCTGCAGCTGAAGCGTAGCTTCACTTGTTGTCACCTGCTCGTGTCCGCGGAGTTTCAGCGGTCAATCCCCACCAAGTTCCACCCACAGCGAGTCTTGGCTGAGAAAAGCGCTTAAATGAGCAGTGCCCAAAATCCTTTTTGGCCATAGTAGCAGGTGGTTTTACCTAAGCGAAAAAGGGACCAGATGTTCATCATGTTGGTAGAACCAACCGTCAGTAGATTTTGGGCGCTGCTGACGTGTCCCGCCTCTGGGGGAGTGGCGCCTGTCACTAGGTTGCGACATCAGGATGAAGGTTCCTCATGGTCAGTTGAATGAGTAGCTCCGGAGTTCCTTGTGGTAATGTTGCAATTCTTCTTGGCCACTGTGATTTACGCTGAGAGGGAAATTCTGAACTGACTGTAAAGCTGTGTGGATTGTTCTTCCACATCCCAAGGGGCCGTTCTGCAAAATTTGCCCAGAATATTACTAGTTGAGAAGTTTCCTTTGGGGATTTTCGTGTCGCTTTCTTTCCTGGGGGTCACAAAAGGGTAGAAGTTTTCTATCCGTTTGAGGAGGGATTCACTTTTCGACCAGTGGAATGGAATTATTTTGACCCCGGAGCCACCCTATCCTACCATGTCACTCATGACATGGTCTCAAGGGTCTTGAGGGGCTGGAGGCGATATGGCTGTGGCTCAACACCAATGGCACCACCCGGGGATTGGTTGATGTTCACTGGGGGTACGAAATTTGGCTTTTGAGCCATGGCCATATGTGACAGCGGCACCCAGGTGTTTCCCAAGCGAAGCCACCGGAGTTTTTTCCAAACGAACCACTGAACCCATCCGAGCTTGGACCTTCATTCAGGTACATGAACCGCTGTGTTCCTTGAACTTTCCTTCTGGAAGACCAGCACAATTGGGCCAAATTGTGGTGTTCAATAAATCCCACCAAGTTTGAGGAAATGGTTAAAACAATACACTAGGGGGCGGGGGGGTCTCAAAATGCTGGTTCTCTTTTTGAGGTGGTGTTCCATCCGCCCATTTTGAGGTTCCCTTGTTCAGAGAAGCACCCATTCTTGCAGTGGATGCCCCTGTGCTAGTAAACCAATCATATATTAGGAAACCAGGGGATCCACAATCAATCCCCAGGTAGATGAAGGTTAGTAAGGGACAATCCCAACCATAAATAGCTGCGGAAATCCGCCTTCTTAATTCTTGAAGCATGGTTCTGGGTCGACCATTTGAGTACAAAGGGTTTTGAGCAAGTGACTCAGGGGACAAGTACAGATCTGTTGTTTTCCTTGGCATTTGCTTTGGCGTCCGTATCGCCTAGCCCTTATCCTTGGCAATAGCCCAGAAAATCGCCCCATGGCCCCCCTATCCGCTAAGAGTTGGCCATGCTTTGAGTACATTGCGCTTCATTTTGGGGCTCATTTTCCAGGTTCATAACTAGAGCAGGGCTACCTCCTGTGCCGAGGAATCCCTTCGTGATGAAGTAGTCAGTGATTCTTCACCATGGGTTGGTGTTTTCTTCCAAACTCAAATCCAACGGACACCAAGGCCCCTTTGGAGGGATCCAACCGAGCTTCGCCCAAAAACAAAAGCGGCGGTTCCCGCGCCTGAAATGCAGGCGGGGATAGTTTTAAGTAAGTAAGTGGTGGGAGCAACACCTTCTGGATAATCCAGACCTATAGTTTTAGGATGCACTCTTGAATAGAGATGCAAACAGCATGAACGGGTTAGGTTACAAACCTTTATCACCATGAAAATAACCCAAGTCCATCGTTCTTTGTTTCTCGCTGCGAGCAACTCAGTGCATGCAGTTCTCTGACTCTGGGGAAAAAATCCGGCGGATTCTCAAGGCAGAATGAGCGGCGTGAGCAGCGCCTTGCTCGTCTGCGTGCGTGCGACCTTCGTGGACGTCGAGGACCGGTGCGAGGGGTCAGGCAATGGGGGTAGACTCCCTAACTTAAACCAGCCCCCCAGCGACTCCCAACTGCCAATCAGAGCCAATAGGCAACCCCAGGTCCAAGTGATGCTGGTGATGCTGGGGATGTTGCCAGCCCTGCGCAACGGTCGACCGAAAAAGTGCAGGACTCAGGAGGTGTTCAACGCATACCAATTTTGCGTCCTTTCAAAAAGCAGTCTATTGAGCACATTTTGAGGCCTCTAACAAGTCAGCCAGGAACAGCCAGCCGTGCGCATCATTTCAGGTAAGGAGCCAGCGCTGTGAAATTCAATGTTTTGTGGATGTGGTTTCCTCAAAATGCGTCTCAATAAGTTCATGTTCGTCTTTGAGCACGGGCAGGGGGCTTAGTTCATTTAGGGTCTTCATCATATGGGTATGGGTCAAAATTAATCCACCAGGAACCGCAGATTTTAGTCCATGTTTCTATTTACCATGGCAAGCCATTTTGGGGTTACCCTATTTTTGACTCACAACCATTTTTGGCTATGCCACCTCCGAGAATCCATTTTACGACAATGGGCTTCCTTTTGTTTAAGAGTATATGTTTCCCATGTTGGTTTTAAAGGGAATCTATCACTACTGGAAATACCTATATTTTTTTCCAGGGGGCTTAAGCAAATGGAAGGATATGCAACTATGCAACCACCATGTACCGTGGTTCTCTACCCCTTTTTCTTGGGGGCAGTAGTTTGGGGGGCAGTGTACACCATCTTAGAACACGCACTTGCGAAATATATACTCGATACGGGTGTGCGCCTTCAGGCAATGTAGAAATGGCTCACTACGGGCCGGACGACCTGTTCACCGGGCGTATGTTTCCCGCATTTCCGGAAGTGAAAGGCGTGACATTTGAAGACTTAGCTCACCTGTCCATTGTGCCCGGTGAAAGGGGATCAGAATTTGGATCAGAATTTGTGCAGAAACCAAGCCGCCTGTCGGCCAAATTCCGGCAAGTGGTTCTTGGCTGGCAGAATAGCCAGGGAAGTGCTTCATACTCTCTGTGAAGCCCATTTCGGTGTTCTTAGACTCTATGCTTTTTTGGGAAGACCATTTGGGTGGCAAGAAGTTCGGACTTCTTTCGCCAATGCAAGTGAGTTCACCAGAAATACTGTGGACGGCACGAAATCCTGCACTTTGAAACCATGGCTGAAACCAAAAGGTTTGTTGGTATTGACGTGATCGTATATCTATCTCTTGGGCTTCTGAACGGTGCGAGAAGCGGAGTTCGCGTCCATCCACAGTACTGTGGATGGACGAAATCCTGCACACCTACGAAACCCTGAAATGTTGATTCCCTTGTCAATATCAACAAACAATGGTGTCTCATGGTTGCTTAGGTGGTGCAGGATTTCGTCCATCCACAGTATCACCTCCCAAAGATAGAACCAAGGGAACCCTCTGCCCTAAGGGTCACCTCCAATGGAGAACTCCGACCAATTCCTCATGGGCCCTCAAAAACAACCCATTTGGAGGGCCCAAAAGCAGTCGGGACCCTGAGGGTGGACCAATTTCCTTCCGCTCGCCAGACGTCAGCACAAGTCAGTTTCCTTCCGATTGAAACGGCAGGAGCTGAGCGTCAAGCCTTACAAGCTTCAACGGTCACACAGCGAACCAGCTCTTTGCACCCAGGCGATGGGCGATCAACGAGCAAGTGCAACGGGGGTATAGGCTAGGTCCCCCAGTATTGCCCTTCTCTCCTCCTTCTTGGGGGAGGAATCCCCTACTCAAATAGACTACAGAAAAAAACTGGTACCCACTAGGGATGGAAAATGGTATAAAATGGTGACGTTTGCTGTTGTTTCTTTTTTCGCCAAGCTGCAAAAGGGGGCCCAAATTGCACACAAAGAAACGTGTCCCAACATACTTTCGTGGTTGTTTATTTGATGTGTGACAGGGAAACCAAGAGGAAATTGAGCCACTTTGGGCGGGGGGGGGGGGGGAGGCTATTTTTCTGCAACTCTTATATGACTCGCACCATTGTTGGTGGTGTACTGTTGGCCTGGGGAGGACATGGGGGGACAACCACATGTTGCACAAAACGTGCCTAGCCGCATCTAACGGCCCATGTGTTTCATGTCTTCGGGCAACAAGTAGTTCTCTCCGGGGCTCCTACCAAGGATGGGGCAAAGTCCACTTTGCCCCAGTTTCTTGGGGTTGATTCCCCATTCTTTTCAACCATTGTTCTTTTTGAAAACCAGCGGTTTCCCCTGGGGTTCTAATGGTTTTCTGGAAAGAAGGATCCCTGGAAAAAATGGGGAAGCCCCTAGACAGTTGGTAGATGGCGGTCCCACTGTTCTCCATTCATACCAAGTTGTGCGAAGCGGATTGATTTTGCCAGGGGTTTCGACAAATTGGAGAACACCCTCAGCTTCCCCGTTGGTTGAAGAAGAAAGAGACTCCACAAGCAGTAAGGTCGTCAGGTACACATGCCGCGGACTCTCTCGTAACACAATCCGCCCTCTTTTTGAGTATATGATTTCACTGGATCCTGGAGTTCACTGGCTTCACTGGAGTTCATATATGCCGGATCAGGGACACTGGCTTCATTGGAGTTCACGGTCCGTCTAACCAGGCGTTAGGTCTCACCAACTCTTTTGGGGGAGGGTTCCCCTACTCAATAGCCTACAGAAAAAAGGTACCCTTATTAACCTCTCTACTGGAGGACCTAGGGCGGTTTAAGCTTAGGAACGGCTTCTGAGAGGCATGGTCCCGCTCAACCCGTGATGTTTATTCGCTTGAACGGTTGCGAGCCGCGACCCAGACAGAAACACCATTGGCAAATGACCATTTGCATAAATGTATATACTATATATGTATATCTTCATTTTCCTGTTCCCTGAAAGATTAGCATGGAATTGGGGAGACCTGCGCAAGCCCTTTGAGAGCATGCCCTGGGCACATTCTGGGCAACCCTGAGTTGGCGGTTTGGAGCCCGGTTTGAGGATTTGAAGCCCTGGTTCTTGTGGGTAAATGAAGAACCCCTCCTTAAGCTCCAAACCAATCGAAATCACCAGCAAGAGGTAAGCTGATGTGCAGTGTCTTTCTTGTGGTAGGGCTTGAGGTTTCCATTCTCTGAGCCCGAGCCGGGTTAGTCGTGGCTCAGCTCGCAGGAGGATGTGGGCGTGGAGTCTCCAGAGGCCCAATGCCGAGCCTAGGGGCCCCTGAAGCTCTGCAAAGCAACATCGGGCGAAGAAGAACACTGAGATGTCGCTTCTGACATGAGCAAATACCAGAAGCATTATGCAAAGCAACCTCCGCTCAGAACATCGAACCTGACGTTCGGGGGTCCGGGGGTCCTGGACCATTTGCTGGTTGAAGGGACCGGATCCCTGGCAGGTTATATTAATTGGTGGGAGAATTCTTTTGGCGAGCTCACCGATCCGGGGTATACTCAGCGCAAACCATGATAAAGGCTCTTTACTTGGGGATCCTTCAATTCAGCTTTTGGCATTCTAGCAGCCTAGCAAAATTCTCAGATCGAATGCTGTGGCAGCCAGCACTCACATGTCATCCCTCCCAACTGCCGATCGATTCACTTTGACTTTGTCTCCACTTGTGGTGTTGGAATGGTAAATCCACGGACATGGCCGGAAGTGCCACTAAGCCTTGTGCGGCTGGCTCAAAATTACGGGTTTCGGTGAGGGACATTTTAAGGGACGGGGACATTCCCCAAATCTGCAGCTATGGGCCAGACCCTGTTCCATAAAACCAGCGCGTGGCCTACAGGGTGATTCCTCGTTTGGGGGTCTTTTGCTGTCGGGTCTTGGCCGTGATTTAGATGGAATTTAGGCGCCGCACAACCGGCTCACGTCAGTTAGTTGGTGAATCATTCCAACTCACCCAGATACTTGTTGGTGCCAGGCACAATGTTTCATGCGTCTTTCGCAGGTGATGTCAATGTGGAAGATCAATACGCAGCAAGCAGGCCGGGCGCCTTGGAACCACAGGGGTGAGTGAATCATATCCCGGGCAAATAAGTTGTGAAGTGGGATGACCCACATACAACTGACTAAGGGGACGCTCAGCTGCGGTGACCAAACTTCCCCTGGACTTGTTTGCAGGGTGCCATCGGAGTTTCAGAGTTTTTCGGCGGCTACAACTCTGCCGACCCAGTGGCATTTGTTTTTCTTTCGTCAAGCCAGCAAAAGACTAGGGAGTCTTGGTTATTCATCATGGGACAAGTAAGTGGGCTTTTTCATTTAGACACTGCACCCCTGCCAATAGAACGCACTCATGCCCAATTCAACTTCCCATTTGGCAAGCGAATCCGTTCAGGCCCTGGGAGACTGGATGTTTTGCACGGGCTGCAGCAAGTCAAGACGCATTTGAAGCATGCCTATGACCCCGCATGGTTGCCTGCTTTTTGCCGTGAACTGCTACCAGCAGCGGTGTTGCATGCGCGCTTCGCAAGAACACCCTGACAATTCTCTGCTCATGTCTGGTGCTGCAAAGAGCAACCTGTCCTGAGAATGATGTAGACAGTCACCATCTTTGCTCGATGGGTTGCAGGGGGCTATCCCTAGACAGGATAAGCACGCCCTGGTGGGGTTAGGTGAGTACATCTTCAGTTTCTTGGTGGCTCCCAGCCATCCCCTTAGCTTTTTTGCCTTTTAGTGTTTAGTGGTAGTTTCCATTTTACCCACTAAAAGTGAGTCACTTTTTTTTGGCGGGGGATCTGAGGGCAGCCCAGTCAACCCGTGTTGCCTCCAAAAGTGATGAATCCCCACTAAAAGGGGACACCCCCCTATTAATCAACCTTGGGTTTATTAATGTGGGGTCAACATTACACCCTCAGTTTGGTTTCTATGAGACAAGAATTGCTTGAACAACTCTTTGGCGCACGCGCGGCAGATCCGATCGACGACCAGCTTGACAGCGGGGACCCCGGCGAGAGCCGGGTGAAGGTCAGCGGGGCTTAGAAGACGTGTCTCTTCCCAAGGCGGTTCCATTTGCTGTTTTTTCTGTTTAACGTTCCCTTGTTAATTTTTATTAGGAATTTTTCACTAGTGGAGATATGTTTGCTTTGGTCCTAACCACATGGAAGGGCTTCAATCGCCACCCAAAACCCCTTCCTTGAGCGGACAAGGGTTTGTTGTCCCAAAGTGCCGGATTTCCTCGTCTGCCTGCTTTGTTCTTTAGAATCCTTGAAGTTTGAGGGCGGCCCGGCTGACCGTTCGGGTTATAGATTCCATGGTGAGAAGGGGAATTGTTCGGCGGATCGAGTCATGGCCGTAGATCTCGTAAGGACCCCTTAGTGTAACAACATGTTGTTTCGGGGAAAAGAGACACCTCACAGGCTACATACTCTGGATGGTAACAAAATCCACGCCAAGCACCAGTTGGGATGGATGAAGCAGGGTTTGCACCAATCCGAACTGGTGTGAAGTGGGTTTTGTCCACAACATGGACAGGAAAGCAATCCCGGGAGCAAGACAATGTCCCGTCGGTTTGTGCAGCTAACAACAAGTCACATGTTATTGCGAGATTCTAGGGGTTGGTTCCGTTCCATCGTTCTTTTCAAAAACCGGCTGTTTCCCCAAGATGTTTGATGGTTTCTGGATCAATGGGGAAGGTTCCCCTAGAGCGATGCGTTTTTGCCAGATCTCAAACGTGGAGAACTTCCAGAAGTCTCTTTTGATTGTTTTTGTCTTTTTTGTTGTTGTCAAGTTTAAGAGAATGTCCTCCAGGCGAGTGTTGGCAGTCTGGATTTATTTTTGTAGATACGGATTACCCAACTGAGCTTGGGCTTCGTTTGGCTTAACTTCAGTTGATAGGCCTTCAACGGGACCCTTTGAACACCTAGCAAACCGTATGTGAAAATCCCAGGATTTCCCTTGGGACTTTGACACAGAAGGTTGCACAAAAGCTATGCTTGTAGCCCGTGGCGTAAGCCCAAAAGTTGGGTGGCTCAAGGTATGCGTAAGCAATCGCGTGGGGAACGGCCGTGCGACGCAGCCAATTCACGTTTTGAACATGGCTCAAATGTTTCGGAGCTACAAAGGGGAACCAAAGTGGTGACAAATTTCCTAAGCTCTAAGATTTAGGGAACCAAAGTGGTGATGAATTTCATGTCCACCTCAGCCCTAATTGCAAGACTAGGTCCCAGCGGTGCCCTTTCTCACCCTTGTTGGGGGAGGGTTCCTTTACTAAAATCCACTACAGAAAAAGAATCGGGTACCAACTTATTCTGACCTCTCCACAGGAGGACCTAGTGGGGTTCATATAACCATGCCAAACCCAGTGGATCCAGCGGAGCAGAATGCAACCGAGCTAAGATTCCTACAGAAAACAATATGGTACCAACGTAATCTAACCTCTCCACTCAAGGACCTAGAAGATTCAGAACCCAACCGATGGTTTTCCACAAAAACACAAAAACAACAAACAACCCAACCCATGGTTTTCTAAAAAAAAACCACATGGTTTTCCACAGGAAAAAAAAAACAAAACCAAACAAAAAGCAAAACGTCCGCGTCTTTCGATCGCGCGGAGGTCGAGGCAACGAAGGCAGCCTGGGGCACCCGGAGGTGTGCCGCCGGCCCTGCGCCGCTCGGCGATGGCGAGCGATGGATGGGGAGAAGCGCGCGCGCGGGGGGGGGGGGGGGGGAAGGGCCCCCAGCAAAATCGGAGCACTCATTTACCTGGATTCACCATGAGCCAGGAAAAAATGGGGTCATTACCCCAAATAAAGGGGTCATGGACCTATTTTAAAGGGTCATGGACACTCCAGGTAGCATTTGTTGATAAATCGCACACCTTTGCCCTCCTTTGGTGAACAAGTCTCGACATCTTTTCTTGCACTTGCTGAAATGAATGTACATATGTTCCGTTGGTTGTTCAGGGAATCGATCGCCTGGGTGGTTTCCAGACCAAGTGGAAGCATAGGGCGGGTTACCTCCAGAAGTGGATTTCGATTGTTTCGATGGACACCGCCAGGCAAAAACCTGCTCACTTTTTGACGTGGGGAATCCAGTGGCCCTGAAGCCAAGCCGCTTTGGAGCTTCCCAAGCAGACAACCCTTGTGGTGGGATTGCCAAAGTTGGAACGCAGGATTGCTAAAGGGAAAACCAGATACGTGTCATTCAAGGGATCCGAGTCTTAGGCAGAAACCAACAGAAGGAGACCACGCCTTTCGAGGTGATTCTGGTTTTTGCATAGACAACCCTTTCAGTGTGAAAGAAAGGGCAGCAGCAAGCGAAAGCCGTTGCCATTGGACTTTTTGCGGGAACTCTTCGGTTGGTTTCTGGCACCAAAGTAACCCAAAAATTGGGACTCGCAGGCCCATGAACTGGGGGTTTTTGTCGGGTGGACATGTGGATGGAATCGAACTCCGCTGAACTCGCCGCCGAAATGAAATTAGACCCAAGGGGGTGATTCGATTCTGCGTAAAGACCCCCAGAAATGTTATGGTTTCAACCATGGTCGCAAAGTGGTGCGGGATTTCGACCGTGCACGGTATGGACAAGAATCTGCAGATATGTGGAACACTCTTGCCTTTGTTCAGAATCCCAATCTCAGCACCCACAAACACTCTGGTTTTTGTTCAATCTCAACTGCCCTGCTCTGTCTGCTTTTCTGTTCAATCTCAACACCCAAATGGGTGTGGCTCAATTAAACAGGAGGGGCAAACCGCAGGTTGTTGTCCATGTTTCCACTTACCAGGGTGCCATTTTGGAATTCCGTTTTTTTGAGCCACACCCAAATGTTTTATCTCGTCGTCTCGAGATCCGCCGTGCCGCGTGCCGCGTGTCCTCCCGGACTCCAAGCCTGGAGCTTTTGGCGCGAGGTGCATTTCGCGGCCCGCGGGTGCTCGGCGGGCAGGGCGTGCAGCTACTGCCACGCCGAGCACCCCAAGAGGCCGCCCAGCTTGGACAAAGCCTGGAGGAGCCGTCCTGGGCCACTTTTCTAGGGTGGGGTGTACCTTCCATTTCTATTCTGAATCCACAACCACCCAAACTCCTGAAGAAACGGATCCGGCTTTTGAAAAGAAGGATGGTTGAAAAGAATGGGGAATCAACCCCTAGAGCTCTGAATGCCTCTTTGCCTGTCGACTTCTAATTGAAACCAGCCAACACACAGGTTACCCTCCGAAAACCAAATGCCACCTTTTGTCAGTTTATCAGCACGGTGGACCCCCTTTTGGTTGGTATTTAAGCAGAGTCCAAATGGAAACAACCGCCATTTCTCGGGGACCAATCGTTTGAGAAGCGCCTATATTTCTTTTTTTGTTCAAGGTGGATTTGAACATCCAGCCGATTCTATTTTTTTGTGTGGTTTTGAACATCACCATTTCAACATGAGCTTCCTTTTGGCGAGATGTTTGACGGGAAGTGTTCAGTGGCATGGGCTGGGTACTTGTTTGCCCTGGGTTTTGGTTGCCAGGCCTAGTAGCCCTTTGGTGTGGGTTCGCTACTAAAACTGATCACCCAAGTTCGGCACCCGGAAAATCCCTTTCTGTTTGTTGGGTTTGGGACACTACAAGATTTCCCGGCCCCAACAAGGGCCTCGAGTCTTGTTCAAACATTTCAGCTCGGGCGAAGATCCATCCCGGCGAAGCGGATTTGAGTCGGCAGCTTTCGTCTGTCAAGGCGGTAGCTTCGGCACTTCGTCCAAAAGGAAACCAGGTGCTTGAGCATTACATGGCTGTTGTAGGGAAACATTCTAATTTTTGCTTATTGTGGTTTAGTTGAAAATCCGCACTTATCTGATATTTTTTTTTTTTGCTCCCCTTCCAACGTCAACCAAGGATCGTTTCTTTCCTTCCACTCGTTGGAGGGCGAAAGTGTTTCCAATCAGTTTTTGGTGGGAGCCTTTGTCAGCTTTGATGGCGGGTCGCCCCGTTTTTTTCTTCTTCTTCTTCTTCTTTTCAGCAGGTCACATTTTGGTTGCCTGCAGTCGCCGGGGGTTGCGATTGCCAATGTTTTTGGTCCTCGAGTTGGTTGTTTTTTTGAGGGGGACAGGGAACTCCTTTCCAAAGGAGTTTGATGACTAGTTGTTTAGAATCCAAACAGAATCTAGTACTCACTTGCCCAAAGCGAATCGACCTTTTGACCTTTTGGTTTCCCTACTCTGGTCCACTTTAGTCAAGGTTCCAAAAGATTAACCTTTTATTTCCTCGTCCTTTAAGGACACAATTCAATCACAAGCTCCGCTTTAAGCTACAGTTTAACTCCCCATGTACTTTATCATTTTACTAGGCACTCCTTTCCAAATATAATTAGTGTCCATGGTCCATTTTGGCACATAGACAAGGGAGCGCTCTAAGTTTCCCCAGTTCACCCAGATTGAAAAGCTTTATTTCCCTTGTCTGGAGGAACGAGCTTCACTGTTGTTGACACGGCTTTTAGATGTTTAGTTTGTTTGGCTCTGTTCCTTTCTAGTGGGCTGCAGAAAGAAGTGTTTCTTTTTGCAAGCCGATACCAAGGTTGGAAAGCAACTCATTCATGGAAAGGCAAGCTCATGTCCTTGGGAAAAACAGCTACTCACTCCCTGAGTTCACTTGACACTTGGGTTTGGAGCCCCAGTTGAGTGGCGGGCCGTGCCAGAAGCGTGGCCAGAAGCGTGGGACTCTTTGGCCAGCTCACTCCTTCGGAAGTGAGCCACGTGCTCAAAACCGATTCGGGTAGATGCTTAGCAAGGGGCAGCGGGAAATCGTGGCGGATCTCCTTTCGAATTCTTGAAGCATGGTTCTGGGGATCGACCAGTTTTTGCACCGATCGGTTTTGAGTGTGACTCAGTTGTTCAACGCGAATCGACCCTTTCACCTTTTAGTTTTCACATGTTGGTCCAGTTTTAATCAAGGTTCCACTTTTAGTCAAGGTGCACTTCTGGTTTTGCTTGTGACTCAAGTGACTACCAAAGCAAAAAGTATACCAACTTATTCTAGCCTCTACTGGACCTAGTATTGGGCTCTGGCCGGTCCGTGTTCCTCGCAGGAGCCGCCTCGGGAAGTTGACGGAGGGCCAGTTGCTAGCAATTGCCGCTCGGGTCGTTTTTGGGGCCTATCTTGGGACGCGGCTCGGGCGGGGAGGGTGTTTTGCCGGCGTGGTCGACGGCCTTTTTTTTGGGTGGGAAGGGTTGGCGTTTGACGTGAACCCGCGGCTTTTTTGGGGTGGGAAGGGGTTTTCTGTGGCTTTTTTTTTGGGTGGGAAGGGGTGGCACTTGCTGAAATGAAGATGTTGGGCACCCGTTTTTCTCGTCAGGTGTTTGGGGTGGGAAGTTGTTTCCTCCTCCTTATTACTTCGATCAAATAAATGCTGCCATGTTTTGAAATGAACATTTTGTTTTTCTGCTGTTGTTTTTTTCAAGAAATCGATTTCATGTTTACAGGGAATCGATTTCACTACTGGACATGTTTACTTTCTCCAGGGAACTTGAGCAAACGGAAGTTTTGAAGTGGGGAAGGGTTCCCGGTTTTTCTAGCAACCAACAGAACCAAAGGTGCACTTGTTCACGTGTCACTGGATTTCTCCAAATCAAAAGTTGCAATTGACTGGTGGTATCCCTTGAAACGATCGCCACTTTTGGAGGTTCAACACGAGGAAATGGAGGGAGCCCCGTTGTTTTGCCCACCGCTGGGATGCTGAGTTGTTCAGCGGACACTTCTTTTTTCTTCTTGAAAACTGCTATCCATAATTTGGTTTTCCTGAGGGAAGCTGTTATCTATATATGAAACTGCAGATTGGGGAAGCCCTTGTTCCCCTGTCGTTCAGCATGTCTCTCCCCCTGTCCAAAATGGTCGCGGCATGTCGCACAACCCCCTCTTCCGGACACTTTCCGGGCTTTCCCGGATCAATCAGCGTGACCTCCGCGAAGCGTTTCGGGGTTCAGTTGCCACCATGTAAACCATGGGCTAGGTCCCCCAGTGCCCTTTCACCTACTTTTTGGGGGGAGGGTTCCCCTACTAAAACAGACCACAGAAAAGAGTTGGTACCCTTATTCTCACCTCTCTACTGGAGGACCCAGTGTTTTTTTTGGAATATTTTTTTTATCCACCATTTGCCAAACTCAGTGGATCCCAGTTGTACATATTACGTAGGTAGTCAGCTCTTTTCCTTTTGGCTTGCCAAGGGTGGCAAGCCCTTGGTTGCCTACACAGAGAGAACTGGATCCACTGAGAAATAAAGTGTCAGCATCTACATGGGGTCAACCATTCTTCGTCTTTTCATGGGGCAAGGAACCCTACTGTGGATGCACTAAATCCGGCACCACTTTGACATCATGGTAGAACCCATTATTTGTTGGTATTTACAGGGGAATCGAATCATTACAGAGATTCTGAGGTGGTGCGAAATGGACTTTGTTCATCCACAGTAGGGAAGGTCTTGGTCGGCCGTTTTTCCATTTCCGCGGCAAAGTGGCTGTGGGTCAAAATCATGTACCAAAATGGCACCCTGGTAAATGGAACCACAGATTAAAACCTGCGGTTTGCCCTAGCTCTTTAATTTCGAGCCACGCCCGGAGTTCAACCATGATTTCCAGTTTTTTTTTCTCCCGGCGGTTGTCTTCGCTTCGTTTCTCCCCCGCGGCGAGGTGTTGGGTCAATTGCGGGCGCGGGCCGAGCGCAAGAACTTCCTCCCGGCGGCCGAGGGCCTGCTGGGGATCCTGGAACGCAGGTGGCAGCAGCTGGCAGGGCGGCCCGGAGACGGATCGATCGATCCATCGATCCATCGGAGACCAAAAAAAAGACACGAGGCTTCCTTTCCCAAAAGAATGGCTCACCCAGTTCAGATGACACTTTACAGGTAAACATTAGAATGACTTCGAACAATGGGTACCCACCTCGAATCACAACTCACTGGGCCGAACAGCCAAGCACCAACCAGGGGGCTCCTTAAATTCGTCGAAACGGAGACCCCTTGATTGCTATGGTTCTCACGTGGCAAATCCGAGGTGATCCACACGTGCCCCGGAGAGGGGAGTTGGGGTTTGGTTTTTTTTTTGATCTGATCCCCTCAATTCCAACTTGCGAAGGCCATGCGTCCCCTAGGACCCTCTTTTGCGAAGCAACAAAAAAGTGGGGCCCACAAAAACCTCTTGGATCCTGTCGGATGCCAGTCAAACCTGGAGATCTTCAATCCTCTGGCAAATGAATGTGTTGTTGCATCTTGTTTCTTTTCTGTGTGTGTGTGTGGATTCCGTTTTTTTGTTTTTATCCGATCATGATAAAGTGTTTCTTGCACATGTTGTTCGTTTAGACCAGACAAGACAGTGGTCAGAGTCTGCATTTGGCGAGATTTCAGCTCGTTTTGCCTTCTTTAGTACTTCTTTAGTACCTGCCGGGCAAGAAACACACATTCATGGTCTCGAGGTACAGAAAGGTTGCAGGCGATGCTAGCTACGCAGAAGGCTTCGGAAGTGATGCCTTGGTCAAAGCGGATCCTCGGGCTCTTTGCGCGTCGGCCCTCGACGGCGAATGCACTTGCGCGATCGAGCAATTCTGGGAGCTCGTCGGGTAGATGAAGGTTAGTAAGGGACAATCCCGGCCATAAATAGTTGCGGCCGCCTTCGTATTTCCTTACATGGTTCCGGGTCAAGCATATTTTAATACCGGGTTTTGAGTGCGACTCAAGTTGGTTTTTTGGTGTTTCAGAAAGCGCTGCCAGGCATGCAACAATGGGTTGCATCTGTGATAGATTGTTTTGCAAGAAGGTTTGCTGTCGATGCCCTTCTCAGTTCCTTCAAAGTTGGTCCCCTCTTTGCGAATTCGCGGGAAGTCTGGGGGGGTTCTCTCGGAAATGGGTGGCCCATAGCCCGATGGGCTTCGCTCGATAAGGCGCTCCTTTGCCTCCAGCCAAGGGAGGAATCTCATTTTGAGCCCTTCTTTCATGGCAGATCCTTCAACATTGATTTTATATTTTAGGGAAGTCTATTTAAAAAAACGAGCAAGAGCCAGCACATATCATTTTGTGGGCCCGATGTGGACCAAGTTTCAAGAGAGCCATAGAGAGTCTTCCGTTGCAGAGTGGCACCCGTTGTCGCGTAACACGGTGTTTCCATCATAGGGTTGTGCCAAAGGATTCGAACCCCTACTGTGGATGGACGAAGTTTTCTGCACAACCTAAGCAACCATGATACACCATTGTTTGTTGGTATTTACACGGGAATCTACATTCCAGGGTTTCTTAGGTGGTGCAGGATTTCGTCCATCCACAGAATGGGCAGTTCCCTCTTAGATGTCCCATGCAACCAAGCCGAACAGGTTACTGAGCCTCAACAAAAACATAACCCCCCCATGAGGATTTGGAGGGACTGACAGAGGGGTTTAACCAGGGACCTGGGAACATGAGGTGTTAGGGTTTAGTTTCTGTGATATACAGCCATACTATGGATGGACGAAATCCTGCGCCACCTAAGAAACCTTGGAATGCAGATTCTCCTGTACATACCAACCCACAATTGTTTCAACCACGGTTTTCTAGGTGGTGCGAAATGGATTTCGCAACCATGCACAATAGAAATGCGCTTTCCACCAGGCGCCCTAGGGTTTTTGATTTGTTTCTCTTCTGATTTGGCAAAGATGGTCTGGATCTCTCGCTTCTAGTCCCGGGAACCGGCAATCTTTACCTTGGCAATCCCCGGGCTTCAGTTTTGTTTGCTTCCAGCAAAGACAGAATTTAGGTTCCAAACTGTCCTAGATGGAAACGCAGTTGGATGAGGTTTTTGTAACGGTTTGACCAAAAGACAATTGCATCCAGGCATAGATTGAAAGGTGGGATATGACGGTTTGGGGGGGGGGTTCTTCTGGGTTTCTCGGTCAGGTGGGGGTCAGGTGGGGGTCAGTGGGCAGGAGGCTGGAGTTGGGCTTGCGATTTCCGAGGGCGCAGAGTTGCCGCGGCTGATGTCGGAGCAGCAATCAATGAGCGGCTTGTATGCACGCTCGTGTGATGCTTCAGATGCTTTCAGCTGTTGTTCTAGGGGGAACTGGGGAACTTACATTTCCAATCTGAACCCAGGGATCCGAATCTTTCTAGAAAACCACCAAAGACCCTGGGGAACTGGCTGGTTCTTGAAAAGAACGATGGCTGAAAAGCATGGGGAATCAACCCCTAGAGTTGTTCAAAGCGAGTCAACTTGTTCACCTTGTGGTTTTCCCTTCTTCCACTTTTAGTCAAGGTTCCAGAAGGGCAACCTTTTTTTTCCGGGTGCTTGCGCTAAATGAGCAGGGGGTTCTATAGTGAATGGGTTCCATCTCAAAGTTGGCCTCTCCCCTCACCTCCACACACTGGCAGGTGTCCCTGCGGATCCCTGCGGTTTTCCTTTTGAACAAACCTCTATCCAGGTCCTCAAGACATAGCAGACCCACCCCGTCCCATTCTGCAGAACATTGTGTTGGCATTCGAACTTCACTTGTTGTTATTCGCGAACTGGTTTGCTCGAAGTGTTGATTAGGCCCGGAAGGGTTCATGAAAGGGTCATGCCACACCGACAAAAGCGACAGGTTTGCAGTGGGCGCACGTCTTCCAACTGACAACTTAGCTATCGTTGCTCCCACTTACCATGGCATCTGAGTAGTGGGAGACAGGGCAAGTGGTTGAAACTTAATTACCCTCTCTGAGACTTTCATTTTCAGGGGCCCTGCGGCCGGAGAGACATATCTTCACCGGAAAACGGCCAGGGAAAGACCCGTTCCCAGTTGTTGTTGTTTTTGGTCTTCTATTTGTCGGACCAAAGTCAATGACAGGATGCGCTAAGTACTGGACAAACTCCACTTCGCCCCAGTTGGGATGAATGGAACCCTGTAAATATTGGTGGATAACTCACACCCACCCACAGTGCAAGAGTCCCGAACAACTGGTGGTTTACAGGCAAGTGCCTCAGCCGCCGGGCTCAGGACGGGTCCTATCGAAGATGACCTTCGCTGGACTGCTGAGTTTAGCGACTTCCAAAACGAATGCGGCCGCTGGGTTGCAAGCTTGACTAGGTCCCCCAGCAATTGGCGCCCTTTCTCGCCGTTTCTTTTTTGGGGAGGGTTTCCCCTACTAAAATAGACTGCAGAAAAAAGTTGGTACCCTTATTCTAACCTGTTGTGGAACTCGCACCTGAGTTTCTGGACGATTTCGGGGGAGGCAGTGGTAAGCACGAAGTGCGGGGACTTCTTTTGGCCAGTTCAACAGCGTTCGGAAGTGAGGGAAAGCCCCGTATCTCGCAGATGCATGTCCAGTTCGGAGTTCTGCCGGACCTTTTGCTGTGGCATCACTGCCAGAACAGGACCGGCTTAGGTCTTTTGGCCAACCAACCTTGTGACTGTTTGCTGCTGACGCGGACTCTCAAGGGGCTTATGAAGGGTGTTCTGTTTTCAGCCTTGTGAATCAGATGATTTAAGTGGATCTGAGATGTTGGGATGCAGCCTTTGGGGGAAATTATGCCATTGCCTTTTTGGAAAATTGGCAGACACCACACCAAGAGCTACCGTTCCACTGGTCCTGTCGGTGAAAAGGCCCCAAAAGGTCTGTACATACAGGGAACATGGCGACAGTGCAACCACCACCCTTGCTTCCATTTACCAGAGTTCCGTGTTGGAGTGACTATTGCCCAAATGGTGCAAATACATGTTCGAATCTTCAACGTTGCCCGCACGTTTGATGTCATAATGTGAAAGGCCCCAAGGGCAAGATAGACCCAGATTGAATCCTTAAATTGTCCTTGGATCTCCAAAGCTATGTTACATTTTAACCAGAAGGATAGACCATTCATAGAGAAGGTTGCCAGAGACAGAACAGTATGATTGTTTTTTGTAGAAAAGGGATAGACCATAGATCAGTTTGCCGGAGTCATCAAATCTGATGGTATGTTTCCTAAACAGCTTGACTGCTATTGGGTTGGATCTGTAGACTTTAACTTTTTTGGTGAAATACAGGTGTTTTCCACTAAACCTCCAAACAGTGAAACACTTTTCACCGAGAACGGTGGACGCTGCGCGCGGGTTCTGCCGAGGATCCATTCCTGCAAGAAATTAAAGTGGCGCTCGAGCAGCTTCGCCGGGTCGGGGGCTCGAGGGTTGCTCGAGGTCCGGGGGTGGGTTTGCTCGAGGTCAGACGCCTTTGTGTTTCTTTCTTTTTCTCCAAACGAGAGGGGAGTATGCGTGTTTTTTTTGCCGGGTGGTTCCTTTGCCATTCTAGGCGCTTGAGTTTTTTCGTTGGGTCCTTTGCCATCCGGCTCCTAAGGGGTTTGTTTGGTTGTTTTTTGAATTGGTTTGGTGGTCGGGTTTCCATTTAGCAGTTGTTTTTCGTTGGCTTGGTTGGGTTTCCATTTCGCACAAGTTAAGAACTTGTTGCAGGGGATCAGAGAAGTTTCGAGAACTTTTCTGGCTGGTTTCAAGGGACACTTAAAGGACGGGCACAACCATGTTGACACGTATGTGAACCACCGTCAACCCACCCTAAGCCCATGCCGAATCCCACCCCAAACCGACCCAACCCTAAGCCCACCCCAAACCAACCCCACCATCCTAATCCCTAACCCCCTGAACTTAAACCTACCTTTCCTGAACCCATCCTAAAAAAAACCTGAACCCACCCTAAACCCAAAATGGACCCGAAGAAAGCGTCCCACAAACGTTGCATAAAACTGCCCCAAGAAACGGGATGGCCCTTTTGGACGCCATTGTCCTTGTGACAGGAACTTTTGCAGTGAAATTTTCACTCGCAACATGTGGCCAATTGCAGGGATTACCGGAGTTCTTAGTGCGTCTTAGAGTCTTGCCAGTTTGCAGTACCTGTGTGTCGATGCCGACACGATTCGCCTTTGATTGTTGCGGACCTGAAGTTCATACGCATGCAGCACCTAAGTTTTCCAGAAAGGGGTCAACCACCTGCCTGAAATGTACCAGGATTGGGTTTCTGGGGACTGGCCTTGTTCGCACAAAAACCTGTTCCGTTTCTCAACTGCACCAGCCCATGCTTGGCAGAAGGGCGATACTGCCCGCCCCAAATCGAGATGCGGAATCGACTCGCAAGAATGGAGCCCTAGCTCTCACTTCCTGAGTTTCGTTTCGGGCTTTCGTCACATCTTTGGTTGCCATTTTTGGGAGCAAACAGCTTGAAAACTCTTCGCAATTGGCAGGACTTTGGGAGAATGACCGCTACTGTGAGAATGACCGCTACTGTGGATGGACAAGATCCTGCACCACTTTGAAATCATGGAAGAACCCATTGTTTATTTGTATTTACAGGGGAATCATCATCCCAGAGATTCTGAGGTGGTGGCAGGATTTCGTCCATCCACAGTATCTATTTGAAATGTGTCACAGAGCAAGCGCGGCTATTGGCTAACCAGGGCTTGGTCCTCCACGTGTTCAGTCCAATACTCCCTAGAGTTCCCGTGGATTCTGGCATCACCTCTTGGTTGCCACATCTGGGCGGAGTGCTATGCAACGTTTGTGGGACGCTTTCTTCGGGTCCGTTCTAGGTTTAGGGTGGGTTCAGGGTGGTTTTAGGATGGCTTGGGGTTGGTTTGAAGTGTGTGTTTTCGGAACCTGGTCGGCAGGAATGGCATTATTCTCGGCAAACAGCCAAAACTCTGGGCCGCTCAGCCAGAGGTTCTGGCCAGAAATGACCCTTTGCAAACCAGACAACCCCCAAAGGTCCGGGGTGTATATCACCAACCATGTGCAAACGGTGGTGCCGAACTTTTGACCGCCCAGATTGGGGATATAAATCCCCAACCATTCGGAAAGGACACTGGCGATTGGCACCTGATTCACTGCTTCTGTTACCCTTTTCACCCTTGAACATCACCTTGGAGAGTGCTTGAAGGTTCGGTGGATTGAAAAGGCAGTGCTCCCCGACAAATGATCCCAGTGTCCCTCTTGAACAGGACACTCCTGTCTCTCTCTCTTTCTCTCTCTTTCTTTCTCTCTCTCTTTCTCGTCTCTCTCCACTCAACCAGGAGAACCGAGTCTGCTAAATCCTGGACCCTCTGCACAGTGCTTCCAGTGTTGTAGCAGGCCCGGGGAAACCAGCATGCAAAGCCCAGAGGTACGACAAGTTGCCACACTTTGCTGACCAAATGTCTCACTTGTCCCCAGTTTTTTATATCAGCCGAAAGTTGCGAGTCCATTCGACCCAGGAAAAGCAAGTGCTCCAGTCGATGGGAAAGACGCCCTAATTTCATAGGTGTCCTTTTTGGTGGTTTTGCTCGAAAAATAGATGGCGCTTCCTGGTCTACCTGGTGATTTCATCATCTACCAGGGGAACCTTTCTATTTCCCCCAAAAGGACACCTATGGCCCGAGTTTGCTGCTTGCAGCCTGATCGCCATCGCCCAGGCACTGCCTGAGGAAGTGTAAGCTGACATGTCGGGCCGCAAGGGTTCAACTCTTGAAGGATGTCGTGGAACGTATATCTTTGGTGCTTTCGGGGCGGGGATTTTTTGAATTTTTGGGTCAGGTGGTCTCTGGTGCATTTTGCCAAGGGATGTTAGGACTTTAACTCTTGCCAACTAATGAAACGTTTTTCCGTATTAAACCACTAAAAGTTGAACACTTTTAGCAGGGGTTTGCAGAAAGCAACCGAGATATGTTTTAGGAAGAGTTTCAACACAGACCAAAGGAAACAGATCGCGTGCGTTGCTCTTGTAGTTCAGGTAAAGATCGGCCTGAGTTGGAGTGGAGGTTTGTGGATTTGAACCCCTGGTTCTTGTAGAGGGCAACCGAAACACCTCCAAACCGACAATTTAAACCAGCAAGGGGAAGCAGAGTATTTCCACGTTCAATTATGGCAATCAAAAAGAACCCAAGGGAACGCTGAGTAGCATTGCCATGTTCATTCATGGCCTTCAAAACAACACCTAAGGGGAAGCTGAATACTTCCATGTTCAATCATGGCCTTAACGAAAAGCAAGGGAAAGCTGAGAAGTACCATGTTTCAAACATGGCCTTCAAAAAAGACAAGGATAATGAGTAGTATTTCCGTTTTCAACCATGGCCTTCAAACACAGCTAAGGGCACGTTTATTTTCAATCATGGCCGTCAAACATAGCCCAGAAAAAAGCTGGGTGTTTCAATTTTCACTCGTGGCCTTCAAACGTGAGCTTGAAACATCGCCTTGATTTCCTTGCACTGCTGATCCTTGGACAGCAACTAACCCAGTTGTTAAGTGCCTCCTTGTTCGGCTGGGCTGGGAGAAGGATCAATGAATCATACCCACGTGGTTTAAGGGTGTGTTTGGGAAACAAAGCCTGGGTTTCCATGGTAAAAACCTTTTGTTTTGTAGAGGGCCGACATCATACCCTAAAGAATCGGGTATTTGGAGTAGGGGCTATTGTTTATTCACTTGTGGTCCTGTTAACGCACCTGGACCTTTGTAGGCTTTTCTCCAGGAGCTGAAGACATGAAGCAAACTCTGGATGGTTGAAATCGAAATCCGCGAGTCTCGCACCACCGAAACGAAACCCTGGAATGAGTCGACTCCCCCACGTAAATTCCAACAAGCAATTGTTTCAACCCGATCCTTTTCTGGCAGTGATACTGTGGATGGACGAAATCCTGCACTACCTCAGAATCCCTGGAAGGATGATTCCCCTGTAAATACCAACAAACAATGTTGTCCGCATGGCTTCAAAGTGGTGCGAAATGGATTTTGTCCATCGACAGTATTGCTAAGAGATCCTGCACGACTGGGCAAGGAAGGATCAATACGATTTTTCTCGGTGAAACCTCACCATGAAGGTTGTTTCCTTGAGATTCCTCATGTAGGTGTAGTTGGATAGCAGAGGCCAAACTTAGATACTTTTGGCCAGCTGAGCTGTAGTATCGCTTGTATTCCCTGTGGAAATCAGAGTCTAGTGCTTTCCGAGTTGGTCCTGGCACAAGCATTATCAAAACAGGCCTCAGGAACTTCGATACACCATGCTTGATGTGCATGTTCTGCCCCCGTTGTCAATCCAAATAGCTGCACGGTTCTTTTTACACGTTGCAATGACACCCTTTCAAAGTCTCTATCTTTGTTTGCAGGGCGACACTTCGAAAGTCTCCATGGTGTTTTTGCGGTCAAGCGGCGCTCGGCGCGGGCTCTGTCTGGTTCCAAAGCCCGAAAAGGGCAAGTCTCGCCTGATCCTGGGGCCCATGGAACTGAACGACTTGGTTCGCAAGCGAAGACTTCCTACACCTTCCTGTGACTTTCCATTTTGTGTTTTTTCTTTTTAGGCGGTGGTATTGGGTAACGGTTAGTCCGGACAGCATAAGACCTGGTCGCACCACCCGAGTCGGGCGGGTTCACATCCCCAGCCGTCCCGTGGAAACCTCAAAGCCGTGCGACTGTGTTTTTTTTGGCAGGGGGACGTTGGCAACATGGTCCTTCCATGTCTGGTTTGCCCTTGTTGCACCTTTGCCAATCTAATTTCCCCTTGGCAGACACTGATTGCCTAGGTCCCCCAGTAGTGCCCTTTTACCCTTTTTTGGGGGGAGGCTCCCCTACTAAAACAGACTACAGAAAAAAGGGTACCCTTATTATCTAACCTCTCTACTGGAGGACCTAGTTGCTCCTTGGCAAGCAACTTTAGACCACCCCAGCTGCACTTCACCTTTGGGGAACATCGGTGCTGTGGTTAAGTTACACAGCAACATGGTACACACTGTTTGCTGTATGGACCCACGTATCAATGTCGGAGTAGTGCGGATGACCGTCAAAGTGGCTCCGCTTGAGATGATTCCCAGCAGAAAACAGAATACTTTAGAGCCTCCGGCTCAGTCCGCCGACATTGTCCTCTCCCTTTTCTCCTTCCTCCTCTCTCCCTTGTCTCCCTTGTGTGTTCTGTTGTCCTCTCTCCCTCCCCACCCCCCCCCCAAGCCTCTCTCTCCCCAATCTCCCTCTCTCGTATGTATGTATGCATGTACATATGTATGTATGCATGTTTGTATGTAATGTAAGTAAGTAAGTAAGTAAGTATGTATGCATGCATGTATGTATGTATGTATGTATGTATGTATGTATGTAATGTAATGTAATGTAATGTAATGTATGTAATGTAATGTATGTATGTAATGTATGTATGTATGTATGTATGTATGTAATGTATGTATGTATGTATGTATGTATGTATGTATGTATGTATGTAATGTATGTATGTATGTATGTATGTATGTATGTATGTATGTATGTATGTATGTATGTATGTATGTATGTATGTATGTATGTATGTATGTATGTATGTATGTATGTATGTATGTATGTATGTATGTATGTATGTATGTATGTATGTATGTATGTATGTATGTATGTATGTATGTATGTATGTATGTATGTATGTATGTAATGTATGTATGTATGTATGTATGTATGTATGTATGTATGTATGTATGTATGTATGTATGTATGTATGTATGTATGTATGTATGTATGTATGTATGTATGTATGTATGTATGTATGTATGTATGTATGTATGTATGTATGTATGTATGTATGTATGTATGTATGTATGTATGTATGTATGTATGTATGTATGTATGTATGTATGTATGTATGTATGTATGTATGTATGTATGTATGTATGTATGTATGTATGTATGTATATGTATGTATGTATGTATGTATGTATGTATGTATGTATGTATGTATGTATGTATGTATGTATGTATGTATGTATGTATGTATGTATGTATGTATGTATGTATGTATGTATGTATGTATGTATGTATGTATGTATGTATGTATGTATGTATGTATGTATGTATGTATGTATGTATGTATGTATGTATGTATGTATGTATGTATGTATGTATGTATGTATGTATGTATGTATGTATGTATGTATGTATGTATGTATGTATGTATGTATGTATGTATGTATGTATGTATGTATGTATGTATGTATGTATGTATGTATGTATGTATGTATGTATGTATGTATGTATGTATGTATGTATGTATGTATGTATGTATGTATGTATGTATGTATGTATGTATGTATGTATGTATGTATGTATGTATGTATGTATGTATGTATGTATGTATGTATGTATGTATGTATGTATGTATGTATGTATGTATGTATGTATGTATGTATGTATGTATGTATGTATGTATGTATGTATGTATGTATGTATGTATGTATGTATGTATGTATGTATGTATGTATGTATGTATGTATGTATGTATGTATGTATGTGTATGTATGTATGTATGTATGTATGTATGTATGTATGTATGTATGTATGTATGTATGTATGTATGTATGTATGTATGTATGTATGTATGTATGTATGTATGTATGTATGTATGTATGTATGTATGTATGTATGTATGTATGTATGTATGTATGTATGTATGTATGTATGTATGTATGTATGTATGTATGTATGTATGTATGTATGTATGTATGTATGTATGTATGTATGTATGTATGTATGTATGTATGTATGTATGTATGTATGTATGTATGTATGTATGTATGTATATGTATGTATGTATGTATGTATGTATGTATGTATGTATGTATGTATGTATGTATGTATGTATGTATGTATGTATGTATGTATGTATGTATGTATGTATGTATGTATGTATGTATGTATGTATGTATGTATGTATGTATGTATGTATGTATGTATGTATGTATGTATGTATGTATGTATGTATGTATGTAATGTATGTATGTATGTATGTATGTATGTATGTATGTATGTATGTATGTATGTATGTATGTATGTATGTATGTATGTATGTATGTATGTATGTATGTATGTATGTATGTATGTATGTATGTATGTATGTAATGTCTGTGTGTATGTATGTATGTATGCATGTATGTATGTATGCATGTACGCACGTATGTAAGCATGTAAGTAAGTAAGTAATATAATGTAATGCATGTAATGTATGTATGTATGTGTGCATGCATGCATGCATGTATGTATGTATGTATGTATGTATGTATGTATGTATGTATGTAATGTATATAATGTATGTAATGTATGTAATGTATGTATGTATGTATATAATGTAATGTCATGTAATGTCATGTCATGTCATGTAATGTAATGTAATGTAATGTATGCATGTATGTATCCTTGCACTTCCCCTTTGCTCCCCAGTATTTTCCGCAAAAAGCACGGTTTTCCTGCGTTTTCGCAAAGAGGACGACCAAAAACATTGAGTTTTTCCAGATTT